TGTGTGCATTGGGAATGTCGTGTGCTTTTGTTCTTAGATCCTAGTGGCTGTAGTTATACATACAAACAGGTGAAGCTGTCTTAGTTTTCCTAGGATGATTTGTGTAACCTGCAGTGTAATTTTCTTAATGATCATGAATAATTTACAGCCAAAAGGTGAGCAAGGTGTCAAAGATGTTGCACACATGTCCCCTAGGCACCAATCAGTAAGCTTTGTGTGGACTGGCAGCAGGCGCTAACGGCAGCTTTTCAGGTTATGTCTATACTGCACTTAAATCTCTATGAGTGACACAGCAGGTTCCTGATGGGATCTGTCATTATTCTTAACAATCGTAATTTACTTTAATCGCTGCAGCTCGCTCCGCATGGCAACGTGTCTGACAGGAGACAAGACGGGGGTAGCATGATATAACTTAATCTACCTTGCTTTGTGAAATCATAAAACATTGTCCCTTTGCTTTAAAAAGCTTTTTAAAGATTTAGGACAAGTGACAAGTTTCTGGGAAAGGCATTTAAACTGTATAGTTATGCTCATGACATAAAAATAGAGTGGGATGATGGAAATGTTGGCTATGGAAGACATAGCAATAAAGTTTCAGCAAATGGTTCCAATAAAGAAGAATCTGTCCAGAGGACCTGACATAATCTTGTTAGATATGGAAGACATACTGTAGTTTATCACATGTACGAACACTGACCTGTTCAGTTTGAATATAATACAGACACACAGACCTTAGCTTGCTTTGTGATGACAGCAGACTGTTTTCCAAACCGTTGTTGCATGAATGTTTGCAGGATGTCCTGGGCTTGGATCAGATTTTCTGGAACAATGGCCTGAATCACTCATCCACATACCCAGTCTCTCTTTATATCCCTCTTTTACTCCCTCTCACACACACACAGTCATGAACTGACAGAGCATGAATAAACTGCTTCCTAACTTACATCTCCTTTCCTCAACAACTGTGGTTGTTTGCTTGACCACTGCTTGTTCACATAGTATTTGCCTTGACAGCCATTTCATATAAAGCTCAGGCAAGTATAATATTCAGGTCAATCTGCGAGTAAAGATCTGATGACCCAAAGAAGAAGTTTGCTACAACATTGATTATTTTAACTGTAAGCTGCACCACATGAGAATTTTGATTAGGCTTAGTTATTTCTGGACTTGCTCTAATCACAATGACTATTTGACACAGGTCTTACAATAACAGCCCATTGGCACTGGCTGTGGCTGTCCACAGAAAACCCACCATCTCTGGATTCAATTTCTGATTCTTTTGACACGTTCAAGCTTTGTTTTCGAGACACATTCTGCCCCAAGAAGCTCTTTTGATGCCTTTGTATCTTTTCATATTCCTGTGTGTAGGCTAATGTCAGTGACTTAGTTTCACATTCATCATCGCTGTCACAGCCAATGTGGCATAAAAACAGAATCACAGGCTGCTCAGTTTTGACTGAAGTGTGGGAAATCACTGGTGTGGAATTCACTGTAGGTGCAAACAAGTTGAAGCAGGTTTTACCATGCTAATCTGCGGTTAGCCTGCGGCTTTCATATCTGGACCTCAAAACAGGAAGTGGTTATGTAGGGCAGAAGTGTCATGTGTGCAAACATTTTTGTACAATCAGATTAACCAGTGTTGAATTAATGTTAGACTTGGGCATGCTTTAAAAAAGCAATTGAGGAAACTTGAGACAGAAAGGAGGGCGGCAGGACAGCTCAGTTGACAGAGTTGTTGTCTCTCAGTGAAAAGGTTGACGGATTGAATCCCGGCCGGGGGCTTTTCTGAGTGGAGTTTGCATGTTCTCTTCAAGCATTAATGGGTTTTCTCCGGGTACTCCGATTTCCTGCCACCAACCAAAAACATCATGTTCGGCTAACTGGTAACTAAAATTGTCCCTAGGTGTGAGTGAGAGTGTGGATGGTTATTTTTCTCATTTGTCTCTATGTGGCCCCTGTGATGGACTTGTGACCTGTCCAGGGTGTACCCCACCTTACGCACAGTGATTGCTGGATATGTGCACCAGTGACCCCATCCATCCATCCATCCATTATCTTTACCCGCTTATTCCATTTTGGGTCACGGGGGTCGCTGGTGCCCATGTCCAGCAATCACTGTGCGAGGGGCGGGGTACACCCTGGACGGGTCGCAAGTCCATCACAGAGACACATAGAGACAAACGACACAAACAACCATTCACTCTCTCACTCACACCTAGGGACAATTCAGAGTTACCAATCAGCCTAACATGCATGTTTTTGGTCTGTGGGAGGAAACCGGAGCACCCGGAGAAAACCCACGCATGCACGGAGAGAACATGCAAACTCCACCCAGAAAGGCCCCTGGACCGGGGTTTGAACCAAGGACCAGCTCGCTGAGAGGTAGCAGCTCTACCAGTTGCGCCACCGTGCTGCCCACCAGTGACCCCGTGATTCAGAAAGGAAGAAACGGGTAAAGATGATGGATGGATGGATGGAGACAGAAAGGCTTATGTGAACTTAAATGTTTTTGAGAGACTCTTCATTTGTCACATCTGAAGTCTTGTGGAGTGGTTTCACTTAATTACCCCTTCCACTGAGAGATGGAGGGTCTCATTTGCAGTCTTCTTCATTTTTTGTAATCATACTTTATCTTTTGCACCAGAAAAACAGAGTTAGTTTATTGGCTTTTTATACTTGGACTTTTTAAACATTCAGGGCATGTCCATAAGTATATCACAAGTTTTTATTTTTATTTTGAACTCTCAAGTTTAGGCATTTGGCTTTTACTAATTATATAATGTACTAAATTATTTCTGTATTTATTAACTTATTTTATGGATCATATGACCCTGTCTAATCGCCGACTGTTTACTGACTTCAGCCATTTTATTTTTCTTTAATAAATAAAAAATACAACAGACTGCAATATATGTCAAGTCTTTGTACAAAGAGTGTGTATTCCTACGTTTTCTACTACTTGGGAGTTTCAGCAAAATATCAGATTACACTAACAGACCATATTTACGTAATTAGAGCCTACAGGTGACTGTAAGGTTGGGTACAATTCAACTGTCCCATGGGTAAAGCATTAGCATGTGAGAAGTTAGTGCAACAGTGTGGGAGGGCTGTTTGGACCTGCCATCACCAAATAAACTTATAAATCATTCAGTGTTCAGATTAAATTCCCAACACATGTCTGGTTTCAGGTTACAGGTTAACTCCATGTGACCTCTCAGTTTTAAAAGGCAACTCATCCTACATTACCTAAATTAAAGTATGTTTTTCCTCAATAAATTAAACCCTTCATGCAACTTAAACGTATTTTATTGAAATCTGGACACACTTTTACAATAAATCCAGTTTGATGTCAATTTATTTTCATATCTTTTAATCCATGTCATTATTCTTGTCTTTTTCATGCTTTTATTGGTCTGTTGTTGCCATTGATTTGTTTCCACGGCTCACGTTTTTTCCTTGTTGAACATTTCTTCTTTCATTTCAACACCCCACTGGCATTTCTTAGCAATGTGCTTTTTGTTTCTGTCTTCTCTTCTTTTCCCTCCCATCAGTCTTTACAGGGCATGCTCGCCTCCCTTCACTCTGAGCTTGACATTCAGAAGTATTTGATGAAAATCCTATTGCCCCACAGAGTTAGTTGGCCTTTTATCTTATCTGCATCATTCTGGTTAGTGTGTCAGTGAGTGTGGCTATAGTCTTACTAGCGTCTGCTGTTTAATTGCGTTCTCAGCATTTGCGCTCCTGGGTACTTAAGTGTTTGCTCTGTCTGTGCCTGCCATCTTGCCTTGGCTGCCAGGCAAAAACCAGTTCTGGCTACAAAAGCTTACAAAATAGCAATGTTATTATGCGATTTTCATTTTTCTGTCAACGTGAGAGAACAGCAGCGTGTGCATGCAGGTGTGTTGGATAATCTTATGCAACGGGCCTTGTGTATCTAACTGCCATTAGCGCTACAGTTTCAAACTGGTGCTAGAGAACAGCTTTTCATTAACCCTGTCTGTCCGTTTAGTTACAGTTCTGCCTTGTGTCTGAGTGGCATCTTACTTTACAGCACAATACAATAGCTCAGTGGATTCTGCAGTCATGTTACACATTGTCTTATTGTAGAGCACAGTATGGCACATCACGATTCCTAAAAGTTCTTTAAATGCTTGTCGATTCACATTTTAGCTTTCTTTTGTTGTTTTCCTACCTTTAGACAGCACATAAAGGCACATAAAACATTAACTTTTGCAGTGCAATTAAATTATGACTGTTTAGTACAGTACAGTGATTTTCAGGTGGGGTAGCTTAGGAGAATGTTTGTATGACATTGATGTGTGAACATCCATCCCGTAAAAAACAACAACATATTTTTGCATATTTGCATCATTTTGGTTTTGTTTTATTTTGTTATTGTGCGTGAATGACACTTAAAATCTACTTAAGAGGTTCTGTAATTGTTTTTGGCAAAGAGTGTGCTTGTCTTATAAAGCACATGACAGTGTCTATAGATCGTTTCACAAAACACTTCAAGCCAGGACTGAGATGCTTTTTGACTGTCTCAGGATTTGTGAAAGGACCGAGGCCTCGAATGGGTTGAAGGCAATCCGCTGCCAAGTGAGGTAGTAAGAGTACTGTAATGGTCAACATAAAGTATGAAAGGGTTAGTTGGCATCAGGGTTGTGGTGTGATGTGATGATGGCCGGTTGTCTGTACAACCAGCTGGCTGCAAAATTTAAAATGGGAGAAGTCCAGCACACTTTTTTTGTGTGTGTAGCGCGCTACATCAACACTGCTGATTCATACCCACCTCATGCTTCTTTTGATTTTGCAATGAATGCAACAAAATCACTAACTGTATGATTTTCTAAAGAATATTAGACACTAAGACTAAGATTTAACAAAGGAAATCTGTCATTTTAAGATCATAATGTTCTTGCATGTACAGTGTCACTGTGTATACAAAGCGTTCATGTTCTCAGCCCTCACTGTATTGTATCTTTTGCCTCCCCCTCCAGAGCAGAAGTCCAAAGCACGGCCCCAGCCCCCAGCCGAGTGTCGGCGATCAGGTCGACCACCTATCCCTGGCTTCTGTAGAATCATTGGACGCCATGTCTGAGACTGATGCACCCACAGCCTTTACCCGGGGCAGCCGGGTTCGTGCCAGCCTTCCTGTTGTTCGATCAACTAATCAAACAAAGGATCGCTCACTAGGTACGTTGTGGATTAGGGTAATCTGTTGCTGGTTGTTGAAAACAAGTTACAAAACCTTTCAGCAATGTAATTTCTAACACAAACGATATACGATCACTTAGAATAATTGACATTGTCTGGATAAGGGTTCCCTGAAAGACAAAGTCAAACCACAGACGAGCTCAAGCGCAGAAAGTGTGGTGACATTTTGTGATTTAATTTGACAATTTGTAAATGGAGCCACGAACAGTATGACAAGGTTTTTCAGAAGTGTTCCTAAACCTCACAATAATTTGTTCATAGAATTGTATTTGTATGCAGTAGTGCTTAAGGGCCTGAAGACAACAACATTTCTGTGCTGGATTTTAGCCTTGCCCCTTGTGCAAAAATATGTCTTTAGATTCTTTGCATTTTTTTAGTCACTCCAGCTCATTTGTGTTCTAAGCTCTTGTCAAAAAATACTCCTTCCCGTAGATTTACTATGAAATGACCTATGGGTTTTCAGCCTCCCGTTTCTGTTGCGCTTCTTGTCTTCCTATCAACAGTTTCAAGATTTGCTGCAAGTATAAACTAGGTTCAAATGTTGTTTTAAGGTTGTTCATATTGTCATTAAGGTGGACCAATGGTAAGAGCTGTCACCTGTCAGCAAGAAGGTCACAGGATTTCCTCCCAGTCTGAGGTCTTTTGTTTGTGTGCTCTCCCTGTGCGTGCTTTTGTTTTCTTTGGGTACTCAGGTTTCCTTGAATAGAACAAAAACCTCATGTTAGGTTAATTGTTAACTCTAAATTAGAGGTGTGGGTGTGAGTGTGAATGGTTGTTTGTCTCTATGTGGCCCTGTGATAGACATAACCTGTCCAGGGTGTACCCCTGACTCTCTTGCAGTGACTGCTGAAGCTAGGCAAGTTGATGTTCATCATTCAAATGAATGTTGCAGAATGCTTGTGCTTTTTGTACTTTTCATGTATACTGCTGCATCCACTTCCACATCCTCATCCTCAGTATTTGAAGATTCAAGGAAGTAGGAAGTAGAGTCTCTGGTGGGCTTTCTTGATCAGGCTGGTAGTGTTGTTACCCCAGCTGAGGTTGATGTTCAGGTGCACCCCCAAGTTCTTGTATTGCATTGTTGACCTTGTGTTGATTTGCGTATGACAAATACAGTAAACCAAACCTGAACCTTCTGTAAGATTTAGCTTCTTTACATATTTTCTGAAGACCTACAGCATTTTATTTCATGCCACAAACTTTATAAAGTACATCTATGGGCTGTCACTTTCATTAAGAGCACAGCACATCAAGAAAAGCGGAAAAGTGTTTGCAAACTTTCCAAACAAAGTATGCAACATGTACACTTTTCAGGGAACCAAGGTGTTCATTTGGGATAAAAAGAGCTGAACTATCTTGTAATCAACTTGAAAATGAATTGTCGGGGTAACCATGGGATGTCTCTTTTTTTCATGCTTTTTGGTGCCTTATTGCAACAAAACCTAGTTATAAGTGAAAAACACAAACAACGAATAAAAAAAACCTCTCACACACTCATTCATCTACCCACAGAGGAAAATATAAGCTTGCACTCTCCTTTTTTCACCAACAACATGAAGACAAAGCATGTGGACAGTGGGGGGTTATGGTGTGATGAAGGGGAGGAGGAAAAACGAGGGGCACCACTTTACCGCCGTGTCCCTTCCAAAGTGTTTCACACACATGCAGAGGCAAAAGCACACGCCTTATAGTCCCAACGGACATTTGGGAATTCCTTGTCTCCTCGCCTCGTGCTGCAGGAGTAGCAGCGCATGTCTTTTCCTTTGCTTCATGCGAACAAGCAGACAAAAGGAATTCTTTAAAACCCCTAACGTGAGTATAACATTAATTTAAGAGTTTAGTTTCAGTAAATGACTTCACTGTGTTTGACTGTGTTGTAGTTTTTTGCTGTTTGTTGCAACTTAAAGTTCATAACGGTTAAAATGGAGCAAAATGATGACGTATATATTTTCAACTTTTGTATTTCACCAGAGAAATGTGAAAATGTTCAAAGTTTTCTAGGCTGTGCCCATTTGGCTACAAAACCCACAAGCCATTTGCTTCCTGAGTGTAAAATCAGGCACTTAAGAGATGTAACATCATCCCTTCTAGTTATAATTTGCACGTTAAACTTTGTTGTTGCAAAGCCAAAGAAATCCTCATTAAACATGTTTGATCGTTGGCACGCTGTCGTAAAAACTTAGTTGTTCTACTTGGTAACATCTGGAGGAAACCTAGCCAAGTTACTAAAACTGCTCTCATAGAAAACAAAAGAACGTTTTCTCAAAATGGGCACTTTCTTGAGGTGTGCAGGAACTCAGACAGACCTGAAAGTGCAGTGGAGAGACTCAGCAGTTTTATTTCCTGGATTTGCCTTTACTCTGTCTGGTGAAGCGTGTAACATCTTGTATAATATTTCACCAACATCTGCTAGCCTTTACTGGCTTGTTATTTTAAGTAGCTTACACCAAGTAAAGTCATGCCTGCTTTGCCTAAAATGAGCTATTTTCAGTTAGAATAAAGCAAATGTGACTTTGATGTATTCTCTGCCTGCTGAAAAGTGACTTTTTGGATGAAATCAGCCATATTTGATTTAACTTATTTAACCAATTACATAATTTTACGAAGCTCTAAGTTTCCACTAAATCAAAAATTGTTCTAATTCTCACACAAGCGGGCTTGTTTTTCTTCCCTGGCACTGTTTATACAAGTGCAGGGTAGGCGTGTTCATAAATTTTGTGGGCGAGACATCTGTTTTTCTAAAACACAGTACAGAAGCCACACCCAGGGTTCAGAGGTTCAAGTTTTGGTCTCTTTGATTCACAGCATTTACTGTTCCACCCTGAGCACACATCTTTGCTCTCTATTCCTGCTCCAAGTCACTACATCATGATCAAATAATGTCTTCTGTTTTCATTAATTAATAACAAAAAGCATGTCGATTTCTAGCACTGACAGGAGTTGAGTGACTGGTTACTTTTCATGCAAACATCTTTCTAAGCATAAAGTGTGAATACAAAAAAAAATACTTTGTCTGAATTCAAACGACTGGCTTTACAACGTTGGAGACAATTGGAAAATTACTTTGCTGTCATCTCAAAGATGTGCAAGAATCCTACTTCAGTTTAAAACCATTATTTGTCTGTCTTTAGGTGTTCTTTACCTGCAGTATGGTGACGAGACCAAACAGCTCCGCATGCCCAATGAGATCACCAGCATCGACACCATCAGAGCTCTGTTCGTTAGTGCCTTCCCGCAGCAGCTCAACATGAAGATGCTGGAGTCCCCCAGTGTTGCCATCTATGTCAAAGACGACATGAGGAATATGTACTACGAACTTGCAGACGTCAGGTAAAAATATGTTTCTAAGTGATATTCAGGAATTAAATAAGAAAAGAGACATGAGGTTGTTTTTTTTTTTTTTTTTAAAGTCGTTCCTTTAAAATGTTCCGTCTGATTTTCTATCATCACTACTAGAACAATGAAAGTCGTGTCATAATAAAAATAAGAAAACATGACAGTTCATGCTCAATAACCTAGATTTTAAAAAATCCAACAAAGTTCAGTTAGGTCATCTGGATGGTTTAATTTTTTGTTGTTGTTTCGATGTTTTGTCCTTCATCCAAAGGATTTAGTTAGTCTGAGGAGTTAACAAACTCAGTCCCACAAGCAGCACACTAACATAGTGGACCAACCAGTTTGCTGGTGATAAGATGTTGTGGCTCCTCAGACTGATGAAGTCCTTTGGATGAAGGATGAAATGCCTCAACGGGAAAATAAAAAGAAACCGTCCAGATGACCTGACTGAACTTTGTTGAAAAATAAGGAAACTGAGCTAGTATTATCCTAGAAGGCCATCACACTAAAGCGTCCTTTCTGCAGGCCAAATCTATTATTTGACCCTTTTGTGCACAGTTTTCCCTGAACAGGAAATGTTTCTGGCCAGGAAAACTCACATCCTTTTCCCCTCCATGTTAGAAAGAAAGTTATTTGGAGTCTGAGCTCTTTGGCAGCACGTCTCTCAAACACACCTAAACTTAAAAACACGTTTTTAGTTTAAGTTTTCATGACTTTCCTTTTGGGTGTTTTCTTTTATAAGTTCAAAGTTTAATTTTGCAAACTTTCAACAATATGAGCTTTGTCTCTTTATTCTATTAGGAGTATAATTTCCTAATAACTGTTCTGTCTACTGTAGCATTTAGAAGCAGAACAATACAGTCTAGCTCACAGTTTTTTGTTTTTTATATATTTTGTGCCATGTTGTTCCCTATGTTTGTAATCCCTTGAACAATTTATTGATATTACTTCAAAGCTCATGTGTTGATACAATAAAAAGAAAAAAAACTTTTGACGACAAAAGAAACTTTGCCCTTTTTGTCTGTAGAGTTCCTCCTCAGGTGAGGTGTGTACTTGGTGACCAATTGTTTATTACAGTCGTAAAAACATATCTTGTGACACATTAAGCTTAGTGTGAGTGTCCAGAGTGCAACAGAGCGTGAGTTCTAGATACGGGAATAACAGATCTGTTTGTCACTTGTCAGCCGAACCACTATTAGTATATTTTTTTATTTTTAGGATTTAGAAAAAAATGTCACAAAACAAACGGTTTTCAGCGCCACTGTCGGGATATGTGCCCTTGGCTGAGCTACTAAAGAGATCAAGATTGAGACAGGATCGACCGCTCTCCGATGGAGACAACTGGGCTGCTTTCTTACCACCGAACGCCTTTCCTTACAGGAACATTACAGACCACTCCTGCCTGAAGGTGTACCACAAAGACCCAGCACAGGCATTCAGCCATGGGACCCGACCTGCCAACGGTGATGCCAGGGTGAGTTTGTGGTCGTTGCTTACACAGCAGAGAAAAAATGTCTCCGCAGCAGCTGTGGGGACATGAATAGATTTGTTGCAATTAAAATAGAGCCCTGTCTCCAGTTTTTTTATTCCCACATCCTGTTTGCAGTTGAGGGAAGGAATGTCCCCCTGCCTCTTGTTAATCTCTTAAGAGAGGGGGGTCCTTTTGTTCTCGTGGAGGCCTACCTTTGGGTGTCCCCTGCATGGTCTGGTGCTGCTTTTTAAGGGATAATTCTACTCAATTCTTATGACTATTCTCCTAATACACCCTACTCCCACCAAACTATTTATTTTTCTAATTTTACTGTTTATTTCCTGCTGATGGAACAAAAGTAAAACACAAAAGTTTATTTCCTTGAATGTTCCCTCTTCAAATCAGTTCCTTATCCATATGACTATCGAACTTGGTTGTGCTGCAGAAACTCTTATTTCTGTTAAGATAATCCAAATTCTACTAAGTCTCCTTCGATTGGCTCTTTCATGGAAATGTTACCAAAAAAATTTTTTTCCATGCGGACTGAAAGTTGAAAGAAAGTTGTAACTGTTCAAATTGTTGTGTTTTAAAGCAATGATTGTGCGTTATTCATAAATATGTGATCTACTGAATTTTGCAGTTTTAAATAATTAAAAAACTGGATAAGAAGAACGTGTATTTACTAAGCATAATGACACAATGCAGTTTAGTTAATCTTGAGTAATCATTGTGAAATTTTCAGCATTTGGTGACATAGAACAACACATGTAGTCACTGTTTAACCAACCAGCAATTACTGCAAACACGAAGTTTACACAAGGCCTTGAGATTTAGAGGTTAAGTGTAGATAATTCAATTCAGTTTAGTTTATATAGCACCAAGTCACAACAGAAGTCATCTCAGGGCACTGAACAGAAATATTCACATTCATAAAAAGCCAATTAGTAAAAGTTATCTTTCTAAGGAAGCAAGCAGATTGTAATAATTCTTCACTTCGTCACAGTTTCCCATCCTGTGCGAGCACAAAGGCAACAGTGGAAAGGAAAAACTCCCTTTTAACAGGAAGAAACCTCCAGCAGAACTAGGCTCAGGACAAGCGGCCGTTTGCTTCGACCGGCTGGGTATGAGAAGACAGGAAGTAGAAACAAACAAACACAGAATGACTGGTCCAGGTGTACTTCCTATTGGAAGAAAGAAAAAAAACATGTTAAAGATGGAAATAATTACAAATACAAACAGGTAGTTAGAGCAAGTAAAGACAACAGCAGACTGAGTCAGTTTGTCCTTCTCTTGCAGACCAGCTCCGCAGGTAAGGGGCGTTTACCTTCGGGACAAATTCAGGTCACCGACTGGTCATTTGCTGACACGCCTATTGTATTGATTGACAGGTCACAAAAAGAAAAAAACAGAATTGGCAGCTCCAGCCGCAATGATGTTCTGTGTTTATTTGTTGTTAAAAAGTTCTAAAAAAAAAAACAGGGAGCGCTGGCCCACACATCAGACCAGCCCACCAGGAAATCTCCAGACCCTCCCACAGCCACGCTGGACCTGATTTTAATGTGCTAATTTCTCACCATTTCAGTCATGGCATCAATGGAGGAGGAAGAGATCGCTTGCCGTTTGGCAAAAGAAAAAAAATAAAAGGCCAGATCAGGGATGAAGAAGAGAAATGTAATACATTGGTGTTGCATATAAAACAGTCCGTTGCCAGGCAGTTTATCGTGCGACACCGAGTGCACGTACGCAGTCGTAAAAATTGAGCTTTGCATGGACATGCCCTGCGGGCATCCTCTTCGACTCTAATCCGGTACGCGCAGACTGACATACGCCCGAGTATACTGGGGCCTTACGCTAAACACCAATAATGTAAAACAATACGGCGTATCAACATATCTCTTGGGGCCAAGATGGGGTAGAGGCAGGGCAGCCGACTCGGGACCCAAAAGTCCCAGGTTCAATCCCCAGCCATTTCCACATGCTGTGGTGTCTCTGAGCAAGACACCCAATCCCCTATTGTGCCCTGGGCGCCCACACAGCTGCCCACCACACCACCTAGGTACATCCCAGGTGCGATGGGCTAAATGCAGAGAACCAATTTCATCATTGTATGAGAACATACAAAGATGACAACACATAGCACTTTATTTTTATTTATCAACGGCATATTTCTGTTTTTTATTTGGATATTTGAACATGGATATTCTTAACGATAGATTCATTTACAAAAGTTCTTGCATGAGACAGGCATGAAACTTGTTGAAAACAATCAGGGTTTATGTCTTTGACTTCTGCAGATAATTGAGATACAGTCTATATATAGGTCCCCTCTCTTGGATGAATTTGGGCCCCCCATTTAATGTGGAGTCTACTTCCTCCTGTCACTCTCTCCTCCGGTGGCGGCCCCCCCTGCCACCGGTGCATTGGGACTCTCGGCATCTGGGGCTGGGTGATTGGGTGTGTGCCGGTCCGCCCTGGTGGCCTCCTGCTGGGTGCTCTGGCTCTGTCGGGCCTCTGTTGGGGGGGTGGTATGACCTTGGGACCTCGGGTCTGTGGGTCCCCACATCCACTTTTGAACATTTTTATAGAGAAACCTTATAGTGACGAGCATGCTCACACAGGTGTTTAGATTCAGGTGTTTATCAGATACTCACTCAATTGGGTTGTGGTGGCCACTAAATACATCTTGTATTACCATGTACTGTATACAATACTTTCTAATGATATTATAAGTATCATTATATATGTTGCTTGTTGTTGTGGTTTCTCGGTTTTGTCTTTTTTTTTTTGTTTCCGTAGGTCTAGAGGCAGACTTCAATGATGCTGATTTGTGTTCTCTTTATCCCGCTCGCTCTCCTCTGTTCCTATCTCCTTCTTTCCCTTTTAACCTTTCTCCCACTTTTCTGCTTTGTTTTCTTCTTTGTTTTTTCATCCCCATGTCCATTACATCTGAAACAAACCCAAAGCAAATTCTAATAAAGTTTTATTTATATATCAAGTGGAGCATTAAGGCCAGCCATAATGCTCTGCTTGTGAAAGTTAACCTGTTGGGCATCACCTTAACACTCAGACAATAATTCTGAGTGCCACAATGCCAGACAGGACAAGGGAAAATAAAAAATAAAAAAAGAGATACAGTCTATAGCAGGGCTGTTCAACTAAATTGCTCGGGGGGGAGCACAGTTAATGAAAGCCAAGAGAGCTGAACATCCAGCAGTTATTCTCATAAAGTAAGGTTGTTTTTATGATTTTAAATCTAGTTTTATTTAAAAATAAGCCCACTGGTGGGTCGAACTGAGCACTCTTGTGGGCCTGATTTGGCCCCCGGGCCACCAGTTGAATAGCCCTGATGTATAGATACAGGTGCAGATTTACATTTAGAAATTAACTTCTTAAATAATAAACGCAGCACTATAATGAGCAGCAGGTCAAACACATTTTTAACTTAAGGTATTCTGTCCTTTGCCTTTCAGAGCGTCCGCTTGACTTGCAGGAATGCCTGGTCCCAGATCTTATTCCACAGTTATGTCTGTTGCTGATTTACGTTTTCTGGCAAGAGAAACCTAAATAAAGCTAGCTTCTGGTAATGCAACCAGGTTTATGTCTGTAACAAATATGTGCACGGTGGACAAATGTGTGGTGCATAATAACTAATTTATAGCTTGATGAGGGGCAGACTTGAATATTTACTTGCATTTTCTCTTTTTGTTAGTTTCATACAGCAGAGCAACATTTTTTAAATACATGTGTGTATTTATCTCATGGATTGAAAAACACTTTTTCATGATTTTACAGACTTCAATAGTCATCAGTAGTGGCTGCCAAAAGTCATGTTACGTACACAAAACAGTAAAGGATATTTTGTAAACAGATGTTTAATGATTGCCTGCGTCTCATCTGTTTCCATCAAAGCATTTCGGCCAATTTTTGGATCTTGGTACACAAAAAAGTAATATTTGTCTTTCTTATCTTTTCAATCACAAATACTATTATGTGCACGTTCACGCATAGGACACGCAGCCAAACAAGCTCTTTAAATGTTTATGCACTTCTGTATTAACTTCACAGCACAGCTCTTTATCTGTTTAGTTTGGCTCACTCAGTTTGTGAATCAGTGTAGAAACTGTATCCACTGCTGACACAGCAAGAGATCGGAGCAACTTTGTGCACACAAATCAAACAGGACGCCCCTGTTATTGGAGGCTTAGAACCACGGCAGAGAAATGAGTCTGTGACAAACTTACACAGATGTGCTTTATACTGCTCTGATACCTTACTCTTAGGCTTATTTTTCAACTTTTTTTAATTTTTAACTCAACAATGTCAGTTCTGCTTGTTCTACAACAGTCTGTGTTGATTGAGTAAATATTTGAAGATAGTTTAGTCGGATGTTTTCAAGGTGAAATATATTTTGGCTTGATAAGTGATGACTCGGAGGGTTTTGAAGTGGCTCTCTTCTTGGAATGGGAAAAGCAATCACAGATGTGAAATGGTCAAGTAATGCATTTGTTAAAAAAACTTTAGCACCTTTATTAGTTGAAGTTTTCAAGTATGTTTATTTTTGTGCAGCTGTAACCTAGTGGTATGGAGGTGTAGAGTTTGATCTCCTGCCCCTGCAATGTGCCAAGGTATCCTCAGGCATGATGCTGAACCCCCCACTGTCTCTAATATCTTTATCTACATGTTTTTATCAGTGAGAATATTATTAAGTTATTAATTTAAAAAAAAACTTGAACGCTATGGATAAGGGGAGTAGCACTAGACTGGGTTCAAAGCTATTTGAAAGCAGTATGTGAAGTTGGGAAATGTTTGTTCTGGATGTTTGGACATTGTTTGTGGGGTTCCTCAGGGGTCAGTCCTGGGTCCCAAACTGTTTACAATTTGTGTAAATGAGCTTTGTATTTATTGTACCTGAGATAATGAAAAGCAAACTATTTGCCGATGATGTAAACATTTTTGTGTTGAAGATGACATGGAACAACTGTTAAATGATGTAACTGATTAATTGAACAAACTTAAAATGTGGTTTGATGAAAATAAGCTGCCCTTGAACTAAACAAAACTTTGTTTGGGAACTGTCAATCGCATTCAGAAATTCAAATACAAATAGATGGGCTGAATATTGAAAGAGTTCATGAAAACAAATTTCTATGTGTCATTATTGATGATAAACTCAACTGGAAACCACACATCAGATATGTTTAAAGTAAAGTCTCAAAAAATATTGCGCTCTTAAACAAAGCCAAGTCGGTCATAGAACTAAAAGCATTACATGTACTCTACTGTTGGCTAATCTTACCTTATTTAAGTTATTGTGCAGAAATCTGGGGCAATAATTACAAAACTACACTACAAGCATTAACAATACTACAAAAAAGAGCAATAAGAATAATCCATAAGGTGGGATATTTAGAAAGCACTAATACACTATTTGTAAAATCTAAATTATTAAAGTTCATTGATATAGTTAAGCTACAGACAGCTCTAATTCTTTACAAAACAAAAAATAGACTATTACTGGAAAAAAATTCAAAACCTGTTTAAGACTAAGGAGCAAATTTATAAGTTAAAGAGGGAATTACAATTTAAAATGTGCAAATTCAGAACTACTAGAAAAAAACTTTTGTGTATCAGTAAGTGGAGTCAAACTTTGGAATAATTTGAACATTGAACGTAAACAATGTCCAAACATAAAACTGTTCAAATTAATAAACATATGGTTATTGCTGAATGTAGTATATAATATTATTATTCAATTATTGTTGTTGTTTTTTTTTTGTTATTGATGCTAATTTTTGTTTTTGGTGAAGTTAAAGTAATAATAATTGTTTATCTACTGTAGTTAACGTAGATACTATATTGATGGGTTAAATATGGGTTAGTTGTTATACTGTATGTATGGATTATACATTTAATAAATGTAAGACTATGTAAGTGGTTAAGGAGTGGGAATTTCGATATGTTTTTACTTCTACCCACTGCCTTGAATATGTAAAATAAAAAATATTGACATGCTTCATGCTGTATTTTTTATTTTTTTATTTTTTTTTACATATTCAAAAAATAATAAACTGAACTAAACTAAGAACGTAAAAGTGCTGTATAAAGATATAAAATAGATAATAGAAAGTGATCATGTGAATAGTCTGGTGAATGAAAAACATTGCAAAGCACTTTGCAAAACCTGGAGAGGTTACAAAGTTGCTAGATACCATTTATCACAATATTCTGCTGTGACATACTGGCACTACTTTTTGGTTTCCCTTTTGGTTCTTTTGCTGCTTTGTCAGACGTTGTGCAGGCATATTTGCCGGCTGTGTGAACTAACTTTCACTGCAAACGTGTTTTTCCTATTATTATCACAGCCTAGCACGAACGTTTGTTACTGTACACCCGAAGCAATTGTTGTTTTCCAGTTCATGCACGTGATTTTGCACACGCAACAGACACACCCATGTTATTTTCCCTTTCACAGCTATAATCTGTCTTGGCACTCAGTGCAATGAGGACAAAGGCAGCAAAGATGTGTGCCTGAAGTTTTTAAGAAAGCTTGCATTAGGGTGTTTTCGACTCACACTGACTGCAAGGTGTAACCTATGTCAGAGTAATACTCTGGTCGTGAAATAATAACCTGTTGCTTTGGCAGAAAGAAAATGGATTGTATTCAGCTCTACGTGTGACACCCTCCTGCTGTGTTATCATACGCAGCATATCACAGAGCTTGAGTTGTATCACTGTTTGTACACAAGATTGCAGTTGTCCTTGTTAACTTTTAGTTTTCTGAAAAGGCAACTTAATTTATAAATTAAAAAAACGTAGTTGCTTTAATTGTATGAATGCTTATAAAGCGTATTGTGATCCATTTTTCTTCCGTACGTTTTTTTTGGCATCTTTCTCGTCCCGCAGTTTTCAAGCTATTTCAACAAATCATCATTCAAAATATTCAGCTCTTTCAGGGCAATCCTGTTATGAATTTTGGTATTGGTGCAAGTTTAAGCTTTTTGAAATATTTAGCCTTTTCTAACATTTTTCTCTCAAAGAAAATTAATTGAGCTCATTTTACATCCTTCACATCTTTATATCTGTTTACAACCTTTTACTGCTCCTTTCACATTTTGTTCTGGTTCAGCTTCTGTCAGCTTCCTTACACGAATTTAAAAAAAAATTTCAGCTAATTTCAGCTATTTTCAGCTGTTTTGTTCTCCTTTCAGATTCTTTCTGCAAACTACATTTTTGTGCTTCTTCTAACATCTTGCTACTAATTTCAGCTTCTTATGCTCCTTTCAGCTTATTTCTGCAAGTTTCAGCTTTTTCTACTATTTCAGCTACTATTTAGCTGTTTTATGCTAATTTTAGCTTTTTCAGCTAATTCCAATTTTGTTGCACTCATTTCAACCATTTTCAGCCTAATTTAGCAAAAATGTGCTCTATCCACTTCCTTCTCGTAATTACAGCTCCTTTCTGATTTTTTAGCTACTTTCAGCTGATTTATGCTAATTTCAGTTTTATTTTTTTCCAGGAAATTTTCTCCTTTTTGTTCTCATTTCTGCTTTTTTCAGCCTAATTGGGCAAACACGTTATTTCTGCTTACTTATGCTAATTTAAACTTGTTCTACCTTTTCAGCTAGCCTTTTAGCATATTTTGCTAATATCAGCTATTTTCAGGTAAATTCAAGTTTTCATGGTAATTTCTGCTACTTTCAGCCTAATTAAATTATTTCTGCTAATTTAAATTTATGCTTCTTTCAGCTTCTTTCTGCTAGTTTCAGTTATTTCAGGTACTAATTAGTAGTTTTATGCTAATTTTAGCTTTTTCGGCTAATTCCATAGTTTTTACACTCATTTTAACTTTTGTGTTCTTTCTGCTTTGTCCTGCTATGTTTCAGTGTGTTTTTTTAAGCTAATTTCAGCTGTTTTTCAGCAAGTTCTTCTGGCATTCACACTGCATTTTTGCAGGAAATACAATTTCTCTAGTTGTACTGTACTCTCTAGTTGGGGCAACTGTGGCTGAGTGGTTAGAGCAGTCGTCTTCCAATGCAAGAGTTGGGGGTTCGAATCCACAAGCAGTCACATGTCTACGTGCCCCTGGGCAAGACACTGAACCCCTCATTGCTTCTGATGTGTGTCCCATCAGTGTATGAATGTGATAAAGCTCTGATTAGTCTCTTTAGAATGATTTGTTCAATTAGCTTTGTAGAGATCTAGTAGAGTGCTGTATGAATGGGTAAATGAGGACACAGGTTGTAGTGTAAAGCACTTTGAGTATCTCGATAAGATAGAAAGGTGCTATATAAGTACAATCCATTTACCATTTACTTTGGCTCTCAACTATATTTAATGTTTACTCGAACAACACATTTTTGGGGTGTGTGATCAAAATACAAAATTTACACTATATTAGTTCAAAATATGTAATTTTTTACTTTTACCACATTAAATGTAGTTCATTTTACATGTACTGCGTATTTTTTAAAACCTTCGCCACATTTATTGGTTTTTCTAACATTTGTATGCCATCTTTTCTTTATAATTCTCCCTTATTTTAGGAAATGGCCATTGTTATTGTACATTAACCAGTCAATGTTCTTACTTGGTCCAACAATCTGTGACAAAAAATAGCTGGTTAAAGAGACAAAGTTAGACAGCTCTTGTTGAAAATTAACCAACAGCAGTCTAGCCCTAGGGATGCATTTTTAGGAAAGCCACAGACTTATTTTCGGTAGAGCTTTTTTTTTTTTTAAAGCTGGAAAAAAAACATCTTACATACAATACAAACCCTTGAGAACTTGGAACCAAAGAAAAAATCTTGTGTTCATGAGTTTGTGATATTGTTTTTTTTTAAAGGCCTGTGGGCATAATTTCCGGGAAATCCCGTGTACCCAGTGTTTGTAGCCTTGCAAGTAACTACTTTCTCTTTCAGCAAAGTATGAACACAGTGTATTTTCTTTTGAAAAGCAACATTATCAACTGAGTTAAAAGGAGATTTTCGTCTCAAGGCAACTTCAGTGATCGTATATAAGATACAGAAGTAAATATTATTAGCTGTTTGTCTCTAGAGAACCAGTCAGCTATATGATGTTTTAAGTAATTTTATTTCATGCGTTTGTACAATAAAAAGTATTTATGTCTTTGGGATAATAATATTTTGTATACTTCTGGTGTTTTTTCAGATGCACAGCGAGATGGCACACACTGCTCGTGATGGCCAGCACCCTCTAAGACATCCACCCATGGGTCCCCCCTCACACCATCCCATGCAGGGAGCACTCCCCCCAACTCCCCACTCAATGCCTCCCTCACCCTCCAGAATCCCGTTTGGCCCCCGACAGAACTCTGTACCTGGGAGTGCCACTATCCCAAGAGACAGAATGTCTAATGCAAATCCTCCTGCACGTTCCAACTCTCCCTGTCCTAGCGCTATACTTGAGAGACGAGATGTCAAGCCGGATGAGAACTTGGGTGGGAAGAGCCACAGTCTAGCTAGGGGGAATGAGGGGTTGTATGCAGATCCATATCTACTCCAGGAGGGGAGAATTGGGATGGCTACTGCCCACGGACCACACCCAGAACTTGGCATGGGGACATTCCACCGTGCCTCCATCCACTCCACAGGCTCTTATGGTGGGCCCAGTCCTACAGACACTATAGATCATCCTTCTCTTTACAGGCAGAAGTCCAGAAACAGCCAACTGCCGGCTTTGGATCCCAAGACTCCTCCTCCATCCCCTCACCGGATGAATGAGGTGCGAATGATTGATATGCATGGCATGCCTCCTCATGGTCTGCCACCTCATGGCATGCCACCTCATGGTGTTCCCCTGGAAAGAGGCTCACCAGTGCGACAGTCCTTTAGGAAGGATGAAGTTACAGGGACTAAGCCCAAGAACAGTGTGGGTTCACCTGTGATTGCAGACCCTCAGGGTTACCCCCAGAGTCCTCTTTCAGCTCAAAATGACCAGTAAGTACCTGGGGGCCGGAATGATATAAATAATTTGTGGGGATTAAAGCATTGCATGGGAGCATGGACTAATTCTGCATCCCAGTTTCACATTCGCCATGAGTTTCTGAGCCCTTGTGCCTGTTCTGACTCTAATTCATCCTCCGTAAGTTAAACCGAGTGTGTAACGTGTCCTGTCACTGTCTGTCAATTTTTAAATCTGCAAATTAGGTTTAGCAGACTAATCTACATATTCCGTCTGAGCATAGTTTGTGTAAGCATTTGTCAAAAATCTGACCTTTGTTTCACATCCTGAGTTCAAATTATGGGGTCGGAAATGTTGATTATCTTAGATCATATGTGTCAAACTCAAGGCCTGGGGGCCAAATGTGGCCCTCGTTGACATCTTATCTGGCCCCCAAGATGTTATTTTAAATGTATAATACTTTATTCACTTTAATTAGTTCAGTAATCTTTGATTATGATGTCAAAAGTGCAACAGAGAACGTCAAATGAGACCAATCAAACTCTTGTTGAGGAACCTGCAACCAAGAAAAGATGTTGGGTATCTTAACTTGAGTTAATGTAGATTCTGAAACCGGCCCTTACTTTGAAAATGGTTTTAATTGTGGCCCCCTTTTGTAAGTGAGTTTGACACCCCTGTCTTAGATTCTCAGGACGTCAACAAAGGTGCCACCAACAAAATTTAGATATTTTTTCCCTGTTACTGTATTTTTTTATTTATTTCACCTTTATTTAACCAGGCGTAAACACAAAGAACAAATTCTTATTTACAGTGCTGGCTTGGGTGGTAGCACCAACAGGTACTTGTAAGGTCAAGGGAAGGGAAGTAAAGCAAAACCATGAAATATAGAAGCAAAGCCAGGAAACACAAATTACATTAACAACAGTTCATTGTCAAAGTTAAATGACAACATTACTAAGCTTGAAAACATTTGCAAGTATCTTGAAAAATAGCTTTTGAACATTGAACTCTACAATTACCTTTCATCTAACAATTGCTCTAAAGTTGTTGTTTTTATACCCGGGATCGTTTTTTTTAATTAAAGGTACATAAACACAGTTAAAGGATAAGAGGAAAGCTTTCTTCATGGACAAGAAAACTGGGCTTAACAATGGTACTTGACAAGCACATACCAAAAACCTAAGAAAATAGTGACCATTGGTAAGTCTTTAAAATTGCCCTATTAGTCAAACCAACCTACTTAAAACCTCAGTTAAAAACACTTTGGAAATATATTTAAAAGATAAAATATTGATTATTGAGCATAGACTTTGTTGTTGCTCTCTTTTCCAAAACTTTACAAAGGAATATCACTGTAAAAATTCCTATTCACTTTTCTTGTGTTATGGATTTTTTTCCCCCATACAATATACCGTATTTTCCACCGTACACGTTGCATCGCCTTATAAGTTGCATCCGTCCAAATATGTATAATAAAGTGGAAAAATCCATACATGTAAATACATCGCTTTGCTGTATACATCACATCTATTATGCGTCACCGCTGACGCATCGCGTTTGTTACGCGTCACCGCTGACAACCCAGAAATATGGGCCGGTGTTGTGCCAAAAATCAATTGGCTGCCAAATGGTAGCCGCGAGAGTGTGCACAGGAGGACTTTAACAAGAATTTAACAAGAATAACACTTAAAAACAATTATTTGTTTGCTAAAAATTATAGTAAAGGTGTGTCTCAGTCTAACTTTTGCTTAATAAATGCACTTTGACGGTCAAATCAGCTGTATTTTAAAAGCCAATACGCGGAAGTAAGCATGTGCTCAGGAGGACTCGCTGTGCATTTCTTTGAAATTTAGCAAGATAACCACCTAAAAACTTTTTTTTTTTTTTGCTTGACTTTATAGCAAAGGTGTTTAACAGTTTAGCTTTTACTTAAATGCACTTCAATGGTCAAATTAGCTGTATTTTGCCATGGCGGCGCAGTGAAATGAAGCTGGTTTGATGGTAGCGAGCTAGACGAAGGTGTCCTGTATGGCAGGCCAACTGTGTCATTAATAACCACTTTACCGATTACATGACACAACGGCATGCCATACTGCTTGAGTGCTATCTATCGGGTGAAAATGGCAGTGTTCAATATTTTCAGTCAGAATGAATGAAAACGATCATATATCAGCCAAAAATTGGTTTATAAATATGGGAAAAATCCATAAATACGTCCCTTCAGTGTATAAGTTGCAGGGCATGCAAATTATGCAACAAAAAAACCCAAAAAACACAACTTATAGGGTGAAAAATACGGTAGTTCGTAAATTGCCCTTTCACTATGTTGTTAGTGGCTACCTGGTGAATGACTAGCTGGGATTTAACCTTGAAAGTCCTTATTAAATATTTGTATATCAGTGAAAAGGAAATTAATGTTCAAGTATTTTAGAAGAAAATAATAATCTGTTAACAGCTGCCTTATATTCATAAACTTGCGCAAGCAGCAGCTGTGGTATCAGTAGAATTTTCTAATGTTTCTGCAGAGAGCGAATGAAGTTTATGGAGCAACAGATTGCCAGCTTGAGTGGTCTTGTTCGTCATGCACTTTTAAAGAACCCAAACTCTAGTGGCAACAAGGCGCCTCAAAGGTAAGCAACCACAGAGTAGTAGTGACATATTCAAGAAAACTGGGATGGAAGACCTGGCGATTCAAGTAAATCAGGAAGTATTTTCTCAGTAGTGGCTACCTCAAAAACTCAGTCTGGTGAAGAGTAAATAGATTTATCTGTTTGTAAATTAGTAAAGTTTAAATGACTATGGTTTACTTGGTTGCATTTCAAGATTATTCATTTGGATCTTCTATGTAGATCCCCAGTTTAAACTTAAAGATATATGTAAAATGCCTGCGACTGCAATGTATTTGTATGTTATTGTGTCATAATGATAAAGCTTGTTAACATCATTAACATCATTTTAACCCCTCTGGTATGTCAGTTTTTCTTGTCATGCTTTGTTTTACATATTTGTTACTAAAATTAACTTGCAAACCTAAAGTTTGTCCCCAAAGAGCTTTATTTTTATTTTTAATTTTGTTATCAAAATGTGGCTCTAATGAATTTTCTTTGCTGCAGTGAAAGACCACCGAAGACCTCATCTCCAGCCCACAGTGCTCATAGTTCAGGTAGTAGCAATGTAATTCTCTGCAGGCTTTTTTCTTTAACCCTTTTAATGCCAAAACGTCTTGTCCAGACAAGCCCGTACTTCACTGTCTGCATTAAGCAGAGCTGAGGAGCAGAAAAACAAAGTCAGGCTTTGCTTGTCATCAGGTCATATACTCACAATCCTCCCTCCAATACATGTAGTTTAACTGGAGTTAAGAGATGAGAGCCAGCAGAGCTCGCCCAAGCCCCTTAAAGCAATACTTAAAACAAGATGCTGTTACTTCTAAAACTTCCCAAGATGATTCAGTGATCTGACAAAAAAACTTGAGTTGATCTGCAACCTCCTTTTCCAGTGATGGAGAAGAACATTACACTATTTATGTGACAAATTTTCTTACACAACACCAACAAGCTTTGTCATTCCTGCTGTCGTGCTACTCTCAGCAAAACCAACAACAAAACAGTGAATGAGAATTAAAAACAAAATAACTTTAACGTCATATCATGCCAATAAGTCTGAACAGACAACCTAATCATTTCCACACTCTACTTGTGTAGTATGGTTGGCTGTTTTTACACCATCAAATCACATTCCTATCACAATTATTATTTTAGAAATGGATAATAAAATGTTTCCTAGTGAAAGTAACAAGAACATTGTCTATTTTTGATATCTAAAATAGCTAATGGAGATAGGATTGTGTTTAAAAATATTTTAAGACGATCTGCCATCTCTTGGGAGCAAAAAGGCTGAGTTGAGCCGACAGATTAATATGCACATTTAACAAATATAACTCATACAAATTAAGTTGTCCAACATCACCATCAAAGATTATGCTAATTTAGCTGTTCAATAGGTGTGCATAAAACCTAACAATTGTCTAAATTAAAAAAAAAAAGCCCACCAATAACATAAAGACAATGCTCAAAGCAAGGCATCCACATCTTCAATTGTTCTTTGATTTTATCAAACCATACATTCAGAGATTTTTGCAGTGTTACCATGCAGCGCAAGTGGGCGTGGTAGCTCGGTGGTCAGTGCTGCAGTCTCGTAATCCTGAGGCTGCAGTTTGTGTCAGGAAGGGCATCTGGTGTAAAAAAAAAAGCCAAATCTTTCATGTGAGTTTGCTCACTGTGGTGACCCCTGCGGAAGGGAGCAGCCAAAACAACAACAACTATACATGCAGTAGGCGTTTGCTTTTTTATGGACATTGGATCACAAAGGCTCAAACAATAGTAGCCGCAGTTTATACTGTAACTTGTATTTCAGGTCTGGGAGTTTGTAAAACATGGTGTGAACAGACTTTTGGGATTACAAAGTTAAATGTTCTTTATTGCGTCACAGTGCACGTCTGCTTTTGACATATGTGTGAAGTTAAATGATTGCTTTCCCAAAACTAAAACTCTTTGGTCTGATTGTAAAGTATCCAAAGTTATGGTTATTTTGTATTTATTTAAGATTTGTTTTGAGAACTGATTATACTTTTACTTTTGTTACACCAAGTTTAGAGCATAGATATCCCTTCTTAAGTAATTATCATGGCATTCTATAGAAATTGGAAACACCTTATATTTAAATTTATGCAAAGCAAACAGTTCACAGCCTTATTGTAGATTTATCAGACCACTTTTTTCTTAAAGGACATGTTTTAGTAATGTTCCAATCTACCTGTCTTTCATCATATTTTAATTAATTTGCATATAGCTAAACTACAGTATAACTGCTCCAAATCACAAATATTATTGCATTTAAAAAAATATAACTATTTCTCTGCTGGCAAATAAAAAGAAATCTCAAACTTTCAACTTATTTCTATCATTTAATAATACAATTTCTCCATTGTTTTCAGGCAGCCAGTGGTGCTGCCTGAAAACAAACTTAAGGTCCTGTAAATCAAATCTCATGCTGAGGTTTGAACTAAATTATTATTGCTTTTGATCATTTAGGGCATTTTTTCCAAAACATACGTGTTACGTCAGCTGGTTTCCATGGTTTCAGCCTCCCACATTTCTGAAAAGGCATTGATAGACATTAAAACAGCAGTAGCTCAAAGTGTTGATGTATCTGTGTTCATTGTTCAGGCAGAAAATACTTCTTTAAAAAAAGGAAGAAAAAACCATAACCAAACTTCTTCTTTTTTTTTTTTTTTGACCCAGGTGGTTCTCCAGTTTTGGCTTCTAAAAGCAGTGCAGCCTCATCAGACAAGACCTTAGCTCCGATCAAAGTCAACCTCCTGCAGTTCAAGAAGAATGTTTCTGACCTCAGGTTGCAACTCCATCAGATGAGACAGCTGCAGGCAAGAGTCCTTTTCCCCTTTTAATTGATTTACACTGCTTTTGAGCCGTTTCAGACATGCACCTGTCTGTGCATCTTAAGAACTTTGAGCTGGTTTGTTAGTTTCAAGGGTTCTCTGATATCCCATTTCACTGTGTACACCCCCTACAGCTCCAGAATCAGGATGTGTTACGGGTGCAGCTGAAGCGAGCAGAGCAGGAAATCAGTATTAAGCTCACAGAGGCCATGCGGCGTCTTGAAGACCCTGTCCAGAGGCAGCGAGTTATGGTGGAAGAGGACAGGCAGAAGTACTTGGGTATGGAGGAGCGTGTCCTCACACAGCTAAGGTAAGAATGCACAAGAAGTCACTAATTTTTAACCTAATTTCAAAAGAGTTAAGGTAATTTATTAAAATAAATACAACACTAATAACAAAAATATATATAGTTTCAATATTTGCAAATATTTTATACATCATTTGATTTAAAATATGACAGAAAATGAATCAAATGTTGCGAAATAAATTTTGTTTTCTTCTTTTTTTTTTAAATTTGGTGTCAGGAAGGGATTTGGTGGTTGGAAACATGATTTAGTATATAACAAAATGGTAACATTTTTCAGAGATAAAATAGGGAAAGGTTCACAGCTTTGTTGGTAATATGTTCACAAATAGTGAACCACAATTTAAGACAATTTGTATTTGATTTAAAATTGCATGCAAGTTAGAACTTTACTTTCAGCTGAATACAAAAATATTAAGATAATTCGTAAGAAATATTGAGACAGACGAGGCTGAAATCCAGTGCATAATGCAGTGGTTCCCAACACTGTTCCTTGAGGAACACCATCCTGCACGTTTTAGTTGTTTCCCTGCTCCAACACATTGATTCAGTGATTTAATTACTTCCTCTCGTTTTGCAGAAGCCTGTTAATCACCCATACATTAAAATCAGGTGTGAAGGAAACAATTAAAACATGCAGGATGGTGTTCCTCAAGGACCAGTGTTGGGAACCCCAGGCCTAATGGTCTTTAATTTCAAGCCATATGCAGAACTGCTGCAATAAAAAAAAACAATAACAACAATACAGGTATATACAAAATTGGTTTCCATTAAACAGGTTTCACTGCACCCACATTTGTGTTGTAGGATGTATATTGTAAAAAATAAATTAATAAAAAAATATGTTTATATAAATATATACAAACCGGATTCCAAAAAAGTTGGGACACTAAACAAATTGCAAATAAAAACTGAATGCAATGATGTTGAGGTGCCAACATCTAATATTTTATTCAGAATAGAACACAAATCACAGAACAAAAGTTTAAACTGAGAGAATGTATAATTTTAAGGGAAAAATCTGTTGTTTCCAAATTTCATGGCGTCAACAAATCCCAAAAAAGTTGGGACAAGTCCATTTTTACCACTGTGTGGCATCCCCCCTTCTTCTTACAACACTCAACAGAGACAGAGGAGACCAGTTTCTCAAGTTTTGACATTTGCCATCTCCACATCATTGCATTCAGTTTTTATTCACAATTTGTTTAGTGTCCCAACTTTTTTAGAATCCGGTTTGTACATATATGCACACATCATATATACACATCTCCTCCTACATGTCTCTGTGTGAGTGCAGCTACAGCGTGCGCTCTCAGGACATTATTACCTGCAGTGTTCCCTCAGTGAGGACTGAACTTGGAAAAAGGGCCTTCTCCTACTCCACTCCTGTTTCCTGGACTATCTTGCAAAAAGATCTGAAGCTCTCGACCTTGACCTCTCTAAGTGGCTTTAAGAATCTGTTGGACTCCTGGCAAGGACCAATGCAGACATGTTCCTGTTTTTAGTTTTCTACATTTGCCTTATAATCTAGCTGGTTTTGTTACTTTTTTTTTTGCCATCTTATTTGTAAAAAACAAACATCTGTATGCCTTTTTATAACTGTCTATTGTTGTCACTGTTGTCCATTGTTGTCATCATTCTTTGTTGAAATCAGGTCTCTCTTGTAAATGAAAAATTTGAATTTATTTATATTAAAAAAGTTGACACCCCCCACACACACACTTTCTACATATAATCTACTTTTTTTTCAGTTGTTTCATATTATTGCAGAGTGCAAATGATTTGCATGCTGAAGTAGGTTGTCTTTGCAGCAAAGCTTTTCACTAGCTTTGAAGTAGACACACCCATGTAACTCCAGTCAATGTTTCTCCATTTGAAGGAAATTCCCCAGAAGGTTTCATCTTTATCAGCTCACCTGAGTCATTCAATCCTTAACTCTGACAAGCCAACACCCACCAAATTGCAGCCCACAGGTTTATGCAAGCAAGCAGCATGTGCATGTGTCTCAGTGTTGAACAACAGACCTAACAGTAGAGTAAACCTTACTACCCTCCTTTTACTTTAATTCACTCGCCTCATCGTGCCAACAAGAAGAGTAATTAAATCCCCTTTATTTAGCTATTTACAAGGTGAGGTCAAACCTTCTTGTCTCACAACACAGTGGTGAGCAGAGACGAGTAAAGTCAGTTGATAACAACTGATGAAAGAAAAAACGGTAAAAGTCATTGGGTTGAAGCTAGAATAAGCTTTGTATTATTCTTTAAATCCAGCCTTTTGTGAGCCAGCAAAACAAATCTGCTCTCACTTTAAATGAGGTGCGGTAACAAGAGCTGCTCAGCTTTAAGATAACAAATAACAGAAGTGAAAGAGAAGTACATCCATCATGACCTTACATCTTTAAGTTTTCATTTTAAAAGGTGGAAAAAAAAAAAACCTGCTGCCATAAAAGAACAAGAATTCCCGGAAATGCAAATTGCTATAGAATCAGCTTCATGCTTCAAATATTTTCAAGTGGGATTATTTGGAAAAGTTCTGAACAATTAAAATCTTACTCATTTATAGTTAGCTTGTTGAACAACATCCATTTAGAGAAAAAGAGATTACCAGATTAAAGAGGTAATGGCTAATTTGAAAGGGTCAAAACTAAAGTGGATTGCTGCCTTCTTAATTCCAATCTCAAAAACATCACATCAAGCAAACACTGTTTTATAAGCCACTATACCCTTGTCAGTTTTGACTTATGCCATATTTTATATTCAAGTCTAACGTTATTTGTGAATGCAAATAGCACCAGCAGCTAGCTGTAGCGCTGTTTTTACAGCCTGTGGCACTTCTGAAAGTACCCATGTAATACAAAATTAACAGCAACATAAATGTTTTTCAATGGCATTCACATGAACTGCTATAAGTTTTTCAAACAGGTAAAACAAAAAAACACTTTCAAAGAAATGAATTATCCCTGTAATTTACATATTTAAAAGAAAAGGTAAACCCAAAATGGAGAATGATTATCAAATGGATGCTATCTTAAATAGTTAATTGAGTTTATCTGTCTCTTATAATTTGACACACAGAAACACACATCATGGCAGAGGCTTGATACAGATGAACAATCTGTTTTTCTCATCCTCAGTCTTTCCATAACTCCTCTCACCAGCTGGCCTTGGCGGAGCTGGGCATTTTGCTCACTGTCCCTGTAGACGACTTTAATAAAAGAATGTTCCTCAAGGGTACCTGAACACAATGAAACACCATTTTAGCTGTTCTCATGCAACCCAGCCCTCACAATGTTATCATTCAGCACGTTTCCTCTCTGAATAGAACGTTTCTTTACCAGCTTTCTAAAATGACTGATATATTTATTGACAGTCTTACATATACATTTTACACATTTTTTAAATGGATCCTGTCATTGCTCACCTCTACTCATTTTAGGTGTTTATGATCTTAAAGATCAATGATTGTGCCCTGCCCCCTGGTGTTTCCAAAGCATATTTAAATTTGAGTGATTGCACAAAAATAAAACATGTTTTAAGTCTGGAAAGCCATTTCATTCAAAATTAAATAAATAAATAAATAAATAAATAGTGTTATTTAAAAAATATTAATAAATGTTCCATTAAATAAATAAATGTTCCCTTGAAATAAAAAAAATAATAGAAATGTTTATTGTTTTTTCTCCCAAGATTTATTTTTTATTTATTTCAAGATTTTATTTATTTAATAATGGAGTTTCATTTTGTGACACTTTTCTTTTGTAAAGCTATAGCTATAGCGAGGGGAATACGTTGCTGTGATTGGTCAAAAAAAGATTGGAGTACGTCAATTTTTACGTAGATGCAATCCGCTAATCCTGACCAGACCCGCCCCACAGAGAAAACCCCGCCCCCTCATTTGAATATAGAGCATGAAGTAAAAAGTGCTTAAAATAAAAAACGGGGTTAAAAGAAGTAGCTTTACAAAATAAAAATCTCGCAAAATGAAACTCTATTATTAAATAAATAAATCTTGAATTAAATAAAAATAAATAAAAAATGAATCTTGAAATAAATAAAAATATAAATCTTGGGAAAAACTAAACATTATCTATTTAAATGTTTTATTTCATGGTAACATTTATTTATTTATCGGAATATGTATTAATCATTTTTAAATAACACTATTTATTTATTTATTTAATTTAGAATGAAATGGCTCTCCATACCGCAGAACCTTGAATATATCCTCGAGTTTTTATTTCTTTTTGTAAAAAAACAAGTATTTTGTACCACATCATATTCTTTTGTTACTTAATTGATAAAGAAAGTTCTTTGGTGTCGTTGCAGTGAGTTGGAACTATACGTAGGTTCTCTGCAGAGCGGCTCAGCAGCAGCACACAGAGTGATGACCCTAAAGGATGTGGAGGAGGGAGCCGTTACTCTGAGGAAGGTGGGAGAATCACTGGCAGGCCTTAAAGGTAAGATATGGCAGACAGACTTGTTACTAACATCACAGTCACACTAATAAATGTCGGTGCTAACCCTCAAACCAAAAGCTGGGTTTATTTTGCTTGATAATGTATTTTTCTGAATACGTCGTGTGTCTGTATTATATCAGGAGAGTTTCCAGCCCTGCAAACCAGAATGCGAGCTGTCCTCAGAGTCGAGGTGGAGGCTGTCAAGTTTTTGAAGGAGGAGCCTCACAAACTCGACAGCATGTTGAAACGGGTCAAGAGCCTGACCGACACCCTCAGCACTCTGAGAAGGTAGGAGGAAGAAGAAGGGTGTGGATGGGGATAAAGTGGAGGTCAGGAGACCAGGTCCTCAAGTATAGCTGCTGAGTGCATGAGAGGGAATTAAAGATGAAATCAAAAAGGGCTGTCTCTGCAGGGCTTTTTGAAGGAGTGTATGATGTGGGCGATTGTATTGTTTGATTATACTGGTAGGCCAGCTTTCATCCCATCAAAGAGGTCATTCTGTGTGGACAGAAGAATTAGACATCCAGCTAGATTTACTTCAGCTACCTTCACTGAACTGATAAGTGACTTCATTTGGCAAACACTGCTGGCTCGTTTCTATTTATGATGTCATACATACCAAAATTACTCCTGTCCTAAAACAGCTTTGTACTTGCCCTAATTTCAGCAGTAAACATTATTTTTATACGATTTTGACTGTGTTTCCATCTTCTCTGCAGATGTGCAACAGAGGGTTCTCATAAAGGACTTGATTCGTCTAATAATAAGTCAGTGGGTAACGTTGATTTAACCACTATAGAAACCACTGCAGAAGCTCCCCCAGTATCAGCCCAGCCTGGCTCAACCTCAGCAACGCCGGAGGCCCAGAGCTCCACGGTCAAATCCGAGGTGATGCCCTCCTCCCCAGTGGTCATCCATCATGTCCAGAGTTCCCTAGTTCACATGCAGCAGTCTCAGCAGTCTGCAGCCCTCAGCACTCAGCCCAGTCCTCCCCTTACCCCAAGCTCCAGTCTCATCCTCACTGCCAACCTTAACACCACTCGTGGAATGGAGGATTCCAAGGGGGTCATTTCAGATCCACCAAGTCCTGTCCATCAAAAGAAGACTCATAGGAATCCGGTGAATAATGGGAACGGCACCCAACATCAAGATCTTGTTATAGAAGAGCTGCAAAACAGTCAGGACAAAAGCAAAAACAGAGCTATCTCCATAGAGGTATGCTTTACTTTCAGTTTTCATTGTTCATTCTTTTATGAAACAAACACCGTATTTTTCGCTGTACACGTCACTCCGCCCTAGAAGTCGCATCAGTCCATATTCGTCTAATAAAGTGGAAAAATCCATAAATATGTCGCTTCGCCGTATACGTCGCATCTATTATGCGTCACTGCTGAACGCGTCGCGTTTGTTGCGCGTCACCACTGATAACCCGGAAATGTGGGCCAGTGTTGTGCCAAAAATTGATGGGCTGCCAAATGGCAGCGGCGGGAGCGTGCACAGAAGGACTTTAACAAGATTAACACTTAAAAACAATTATTTGCTTGTTTGACATTATAGTAAATGTGTTTCTCAATCTAACGTTTGCTTAATAAATGCACTTTGACAGTGAAATCAGCTGAATTTCAAAATCCAATACACGGAACTAAACACGTGCACGCGACGAGTCGCCGTACAAATTTAGCAAGATAAACACCTAAACAAATATTTGTTTGCTCGAAATTAGAACAAAGGTGTGTCTCAGTCTATTTGCTTAATAAATGCACTTTAATGATCAAATTAGCTGCATTTCACCGGGGCGGTGCAGCTGGATTGACAGTCGGGCCAAGCAGCAAGCAGAGCCAAGGTGGGAAGACTGTGGCAAGCCGATTGTATCATTAAAAGCTGGTGAAAATTCTCAGTCATCCAGGACGTGGCAAATTCAAAAAACTTCAAGGAAAAAAAACAATAAAGTATAAAGTAACGTATAATAAATAAAGTCCAGTTGTTTTTGTCTTGAACTTTTTTCAATTTTTCATTATAGCCACGTTTACCTATTACATGATACAACGGCATGCCTTACTGATACTACTCCATCGAGTGGCTACAAGTGGTACTGCCAAAATTTTATTTTATTTTTTTCAGTCAGAATGAATGAAAACTGTCATATCTCAGCCAAAAATTTGTTTATAAATATGGGGGGGAAATCCATAAATATGTCCCTCTGGACTATAAGTCACAGAGCATGCAAATTATGCAAAAAAAGTGTGACTTATAAAGTAGAAAATACTGTACTTTAATTCACTGAAATCTGAATGCCTTTACCGGCAATTTATCCTTTTTTACTGCTGAAAGTAGTTGTTCTGTTACTTTAGAAGAAGATGTTTTAAATTTTACGTCACAGAAGTTTGACAGTTTTATTTTTTTATTTTATTTTTTTACCTGCAGGCTAAAGAGAAGGAGTGGGAAGAGAAGAGGCAGAACATGGGTCATTATGATGGAAAGGAGTTTGAGAAGATCCTTCAAGAGGCTCAGGCCAACATGATGAAAGGAATTCCAAGTCTGGAGGTAGAAGAAAACCAGCCACTGCCTGCTGCTGGGATTGTAGAACAGGGGGACATTCCCAGCCCTGTCAACTCACCGTCAGGTACGGATCAAGCTTCATGTAACTAAGAAAATAATATAAAATCACTTTATGTTCATTATCAACTCATGCTATTTTTTTTTTCTACACAATTTTACTAATCTGCATGACAGTGGAGCCTCAGTTAGAGAAACTCTCTAAGAAGGGGTTGGAGAAACTCACAAAACCTCTAATGGAAATAACTGCTAAGCCAGCACTGGAGAGACCCTCGAAAGTTGCCATCAAGCCTGCAGCTGCTGACAGTTTGTCCAAGCAGGGGCCTGATAAATCCAACAAGTCTCCGCCACCTCCTCCTCCGAGGAAAACCTTCTCTAGCTCCAGCACCGGAATGACAACGACTCGTTCTGGTGAGGTGGTATACACCACCAGGAAGGAGAGCATCTCTGCACAGGTCAGTGAAGTTGTTGAAGAATATTGATGATCTGTCATTTTTAGGCCTGATTGTATGTAGCATGGGTTAGAAATCAAATAGCTTAGCATTCGAGTATAGATTAGGCCAAGGATGTCCAATTCTGGCCCTCGAAAGCCACTATCCTACATGTTTTACTTGCTTGCCTGCTTCAACGCACCTGATTCAGGTTTCCCTTCCAGTTCTGCAGAAGCCTGTCAATCATGCATTAATTCAAATCAAGTGTGCTGGAGAATAGAAACCTCTAAAGCATGCAGGATAGTGGTTTATTTAATAATCATGACTGTTTACAGGAGGGTGAGGAGGATGTTCCACCTTCCTCCCCCCAACCAAAGCCAACGAAGGTTCTCCCAGAGACCAAGCCAAAGCCTGCTACACCTCCTCTCGTCACTCCTTCTGTTACCAGAGAAGAGGAGGATGATGGGGATAAGATTATGGCGGAGCTTCAGGTACGATGCAAATAAACACAAACATCCATACACAACTTATCAAATATATGCAAATCCAATCAGTGGATGTAAGTTTGATTCTATTCTGCATTATGGGAGTCTGTTGCTTTTCACCTTTTCTTGCGGTGATTGATTTCCTTGGAAGTGGCAAAGGCTAAGAGCTTTCAAAGGAGGATCCTCCTTGACAGCTCTCTAAATGTGAACAACCGGTGGCAGTGGTCTAAAGAGTCCTCTTCAAAACCTTTGTGCCTATGTCCCTCTGGCCTGTCTCCACCCTTCAGGTCTTCCAGAAGTGCACAGTTAAGGATATAGGGGTGAAAAATTCGGTTGAACCTACTACTCGAATTGAACCCCAAATCAAAGAATTAAGACCAGGAACTTTGTTACCGCTCAAAGAGAAAAAGGTAACATATTTGTCGCCATTCAGCTGCCCCTCTAACTGCCTGCCTCTACCAACTGTTTGATACGATCAATGGCTGTGTCCTAACGCTTTACACCCCCCTGTGCTCTTGCTTTGGCTCAAGAGACACCAATAGCAGCTGCCTCCACAACACTTCTTTCCCCTACCTTCTTGTTTTTTCCTCCTGATTCTGCTGAATTTCACAGCTTGGGTTCTTAACGGGATTAAGTCTGCATAAAATTGAGCTTCTGAAAAGCTGCTGTGTCTTTTGTATGATGTGTTTGAAAACTGATTTAATTATCACTTGTCTTTTTTTCCAAACCAATAAAGACCTGTAATTTATCTTACAGGCAAATTAAATTGTCTTGTGTCTTCCTTTGATGACAATTTTCATACAAAATCAATAATAAATACAAAACAAAAGTATTTTTGAAATAATTGTTAATTTAGATCAAAACTCACGCTTGAGGACACAATGTGTTTTTGCAGACTTGGTTCATCGACGGTCAGTCTGGCCACTTTGCATGCTCCTATCCTTCCCTTATTTTCTCAAACAAATTCTTTCAATTTCTTTTTGTCTTTGCACAATTTCACCTCAGTTTTGTTCCAATCATCACAAAGCTAGAATTTTTACTCTAATCAAGTCAATTTTCTAAACAGCTCTGTCAGATTTTTATAAACAGATATATACTGAGTTTAAGTTTTTGTTTTATGTAAATTATAATATGTTAAACCTTACATATTATGTTGCTGGAATTGTGTTAACACTTGTTCATTGGAAAACAACAACTTCAAAGTTAAACTGTGTAGCCACAATTGGAGTTGTAAATGTTTAAAAATTAATAAAGTAGCAAAAAAGATCACTTTAGCTAAAAGTAACATGGATGTATTTGTCTTGCATGTTTTTTTTATAGCGTTTAATATTAGCACAGTAAGGAAAAAATACAATATGAAACAAAAGTCAACACTATGTAATTGTAAAATATTCCTTGTAGATGATTTTTTGGCTATTTCAGTTTTGACACTAGACGATTGCTTCTGCGGTCATTTTTGTGAAATCATAGTTAATCTGCTGCAACTTGGCAAACCAGTTGCACAGTAATATTATTCCCTCACACATTGTCCTGGCAGAGCTCAGAGCCCAGTCGAGAAGATAAAGATCCAGAAACTGATGAAAACGGAAACACAACTATGCGACAGAGCCCAGGGGTATGTATGATTGTCATATCCTAACTTTCTAGTCATAGTTAATCTCTGTATATTTTAGAGTTCAAAAGTTAGAAATCAGTCACATATTTTACATTTTGCTCTCACAGGTTATTTATTACGTGACTGGCCAGATTCCCAAAGATCAGGCACCCCCATCAGGACTGGAAGGCGTCCCAGAAAACAGAGAGCCCACACAACCTCCAACACAGGTGTCAAATGTCACTGTTATTGACAATTCTCCGAGCCAGCAACAGCAGCTGCCGCCTCTGTCTCCACCACCCAAATCACCCTCTGCTGTTACGCCTCCACCTATATCACCTAAACCTGTTGGGCTTAATGGATTTAAGCTGCCACGGAAGCAAGTTAAACACACCAAATCCTCAAAGGCCGGTGCAGAAATTCAGAAGGAGAAAATCCTCAACAAAGCAAAAACTGAAAAGACAAGCAAAATAAATTCAGGGCATGTCTCCTTCAGTAAAAATATTATGCCTGAGCAGGTGGTGACCACAACAGCCAATCCTGTTAAAGAGGCTCCTAAACATTCTGTTCCTCCACCCAAAAAGACTTCAGGTATTAAAAGTGATAAACCTAGAGCTATTCTTGAAGATGGTGATGAAGGAGCTAGTCTTAGTCCAGACTTACCTGGAGAGGAAGCACCTCCACCCCCAGACAACATAGCATTTATGATCACTAACACCAAGGTTCAGCCCTTGTCTTGTGGGGAGTATCAAGAACTGGTTAGTGCCAAGAAAGGGAGTGTCCAGACAGTTACTGTAGGCAGTGCAGGCAATAAACCAAATGCCTCAGTCGACCCTACATCGCCACAGGATAATGGCATTAATAAGAAGCCTGTCATCATCATCTTTAATGAGCCAATGGATATCCGTTCGGCTTACAAACGCCTGTCAACCATCTTTGAATGTGAGGAGGAACTTGAGAGAATGCTTGCTGAAGAGTCCATCAAAGAGGAGAGTGAGGAGTCAGACACAGAGAAGAGTGGTGGGCTGCAGAAAATAGCTGAAGGTGCTGAGTTGGCTGATGGACTAATGGTCAGCTCTTCAAAGGCTACTGCAGATACCACCAAGTCATCATCCTCATCCTCAATATCAGAACTAACAGACGGCGGTGTAAATGCAGAGTTAAATGGAGATGCCAAACAAGACAACAAGAAGAAGTTCAAGTTTAAGTTTCCAAAGAAACAGCTGTCAGCGTTGACACAGGCAATTCGGACTAGCACCAAGTCTGGAAAGAAGACTCTACAAGTGGTGGTGTATGAAGATGAGGAAGAAGGTGATGGTACTGTCCGGCACCACAAAGAAGCAAAGAGATTTGAGATTGCACGCTCAAAATCCTTCACAGAACCCTCCAAGGGAACGGAATCTACGCAAAAATGGCAGAATTCCGACAATGTTTGCAGGACAGATGAGATTCGAAAAAGCACATACAAGACTCTGGACAGTCTTGAGCAGACCATAAAGCAGCTGGAGACCACTATTAGTGAGATGGGACCATGCACTCCAGAGGAGCTAGCCAATGCTGAAGACTCTAAAACAAGAAACGGGAAAAGCTCAGAAGGAGTTGGGCTGAAGAGGTCTTCCTCTCTCCCTACCTCCAGAACACAGAAAGTAGCCAGCAAAAGCTCATTGCAAAAGAAGATTAAACCTCAGGTCCTTCCTCGACCCAAAGCCATCTCTTCTGCAAACACCATCAACACCACCACCACTGCCCTCAGTGTACCCAGCAACATACAACAGGTCTCTCTCTAGCTCTTGTTGTTACAGGAGACTTTGGGGTTTTCTCTCTAACTTTTCAACCTACCTTCCATTTGAACCTAACCACTGCAATTATAAAGTCATTAATCCACTTCACAGGTGCTCAGAAATGTTGGAAAATACCCCAGTGGCTTCCCGCCTCTGTGGAATCATGTTGACATGATTGGGTGGCATTTTATTGGGTTCCTGGTTACCATCTTTCCCCTGCAGTTCATTGCTAAAACTTTGAGGTTTTCAGCAAGTGGTGCACTGGTCTTCAAACACATTGTCACAATGTTCTTGTTAAGTCTTTTTTCTTGACTGCATGTACTATATATATTTACTTTAAAGTCAGTGGTCCTACTGGATGCATGGTCCTTCACTGGTGCTGTTGAGGTGTTAAACAAAATATGTTTTTTTGTGTCTTGACTTTTCATACTTTCTATGTGGTGTGTGTCTTTTCTACCTTTTTTATTTCTTGTTTTGTTTTTCATTTGGATCCCCTTGCAGAACACCAGTGTCGCTTCCCCAACTAGTCGGATGCCCGTTCCTTTGTCTGCAAAGTCCAGGCAGTCGCCGGCTGCATCTGACAAAGCAGGAAAACAGCAAAAACTGCAGGATGCTCAGAGGCAGTTTCGGCAGGTAGTTTTAATGTAGGGTTTTACCAGAAACTAAAGGAAAGATATGTTTAGGAAATCAAAAGCATGAAGCATATAAGGGGGGTAAAAAGACTACCAAAGCTGTGAGATGTCAAGTGTTTAAAAACAATAATAAAGTCACCAAGGTGGCAACTGTGGATCTGTTCTTGGTTCTCTTGAATCTGCAATGACACAAAGGCATGTTTGACTTTTGACTGTTACCCCATAACATCACTGTACTGTATGCTTCTGCATGTCCACACTGCTCATGGTCTTCACTGTGTTGGTGGCTAAATGAAAAAAAAAAGAAAAAGGCAGAGTAAAGTGGAATCCTGTTCTGTCATTATCTGAGTTCCCATCACATCTCCAGTTCCCATCACAGCTGAGTTCCTTAACAGTGTTGCCAAGTCCTAAGATGCTTTTGGCAATGTTCAAACACAGATTTAACCGAATTGTTTTGTCTCCTCACTTCTCACATTGCACCTCTGCTCAAACCCAACATTGCTGCTCAGCTTCCTTAACCCCACGGTGAAACATATTTCCTTACCGTCAGGACCTTGGCATAACCCACTCATCCAAGTCCACGTTTCCCCTGTTTGCTGCCACTCTTCAAAACCCCTAATGCTGTTTTCAAAGTCACTTAACTTCTTATTTGCATCTTTTCCCACAGCCCCCCCATGATGCCTAACAATCCCTCCTAACACAGAAAAATGGTGTGGAAATTCTGTCTGCATTCACGCTTTCTAACCTTTGCTGTATTCTTTTCTTGGTAACATGTTTTTCAGTTTAAGATGTCTCACATTCCTAGAGAAAAACAGACCCTTTATATTTGTTGTTTTGGTGTCTTTTAGTTGTACCTTAGAAATATATGTTTGTTCAGTCATACTGTTCTTCTGTGTGAATAACTTTTAGTTTTATTTAACCTCGCCTTGCCTTTTTACATGTATCATTTTACCAGTTTTCATTTTTGACAGCAAGTATCTGTTTTGGCATCTGTTTGCAGGCTAACGGAAGTGCTAAAAGAGTGGGAGGGGATCATAAAACTACTTCCCCCACTATACCCATCTCTAAAATCCCTGCTTTTTATCCTAGCTCTGCTAAAAGCAGCTCCCAGTCTGCACAAAACTCAGATGCTACTAATCCCATTAACCCATCTTCCTCCTCCTGTCCCTCTGCGACAAAATCCTCCATCCTTTCCTCTCACGCTCCTCGTCCCGGTTCCCTCCCCTCCTCCCATATCCCCTCACTGTCTAATGGATCCCTCAAACTCCCCACACCTTCACAGCACACAGGTAAAACTCTGTCATTCTCCTCACAGACAAACGGTCGAGCGCACTCCTCCTCTTCATTCTCCTCCTCTTTCTCCCCCTCCCCTCTGTCACCCACACCATTGGGCCCAGGTGGAAAGAGCATCCGCACCATACACACCCCCAGCTTCACCAGCTACAGGGCCCACAACGGCAGCAACGGCAAATCCTGCATCCCAACAGTCACAGCGGCTAAGGACACGACTTAGCCTCAGTATCGCCCCTCAGGTAGACCTGATTGTGTTTCATGTAAAATAGTTTTGGTTTGGGTTTTTCTTTTTTTTTTACTTTTAAAGTATTTTTAATAAATGCACTTCCTCTATTCATATTTTGACACTGGCATTCGCACACTGCTTCTTTGCCATCTCGTTATCATTTATTTTTCAAATGTCGGATCATGCTTCTTTTGTTTGATTTTTATTCAAAGGTGTAAAAGATGTTCTGTAAAAATGATTGATAATGGAACAAAAACTATAGTTTTGTTTTTTTTTTCTTGATTTTGTAGTTTAAGTGAAAGGCTTTTATTGTGCTGAAAATATATTTTCTTGTTGTAGTTAAAGGGTAGGGACTACAGAGTTGCTTTACAATCACAAAATCTGTACATTCTTTTATTTTGAAAATGAAATTGAATAACTAGTATATTTAATCTATGTTTCTTGAGTCGACAGACGTTCAAACAACACTTGTAAATGCCTTTAATGAATTTTTTATGACGTGTGCACACATTTAAAAAATATTCTCAGTACTATCTTTGAATTTCTGAAAGTATTTCTTTTTTCACCCATATGAACTGCCAGTTTACGTCACTAATTTACAACTGTTAGAATAAATCATGCAACTTTTTCATTTTGTTGTGCCTATTTGCCAAAGTTGTACATTTACTCATGTCATGCCTAACTCAATCATGTACTTCAGTACATCAATCTCAGTGAGGCTGAAGTGTCAAGTGTTTGTAGTTTAAGATTAACATGTATAATTGCCCTTAATGCCACCTGTACTGAAAACAACTAATCAATTCAACCACATGTACATAAAGTAAATGCTTCTACTAAAAAAAAAAAAAAGTAGTTTTGTTAACATACCAAAGTTTATTTGTATGCATGCCTTTTAAATATTTTAGGAGAGTGATGTAAAAGGAAAAAAAATGTTTGCACAGATAGATTTTGTAAATATTTGGTTTTTTCTTTCTTTTTGTAAAGCTTTAAATCCTGATATAAATGAGCAATGTGGTCAAGACAAAAGTGTGTTGAAATAGCAAAAATAAAGACTTGCATGCTTGTAGTGCACTGAACCTGTGGTGTTTTTAATGGTTTTGCTTCCGGTTTCTTGGTGTGCAAATGATTGACCACGGATGTTTGCGTGTGAATAAATATACTGTAGCGTGCATTAGACAGAATTGGCCAACTTCCTATTTTTTGCTTTTTCACCTGGTTGTTGCTTTAACATTAGTGTATTCCACTTCTATAGTCTTTGGTTTTGCTTAACTGCATTGAAAGGTAAGAATAGAATTAACACTATGCCAGATAGCAGAGAACTAAATGTACTGTTATAGAAGTTCATTCAATAGCATATTTCGATTTTTAAAGTACTAGAATTGATGTACTTTTAAGCAACATTGTATCTTTTACTTAAAGTGTATATTTTAGTAGAAAAAGATAATGTCTAAACCCATTAATTTAGTTTACAATTAACGACAATGCACTTAAATTCACCCTTTTGTTAACAAATAGATTACTTGAAAATACAATTTGAAGCTGGGTTTAACTGCACGGGTAATATTTAAGTGCACTTGACATTTGATTTTACTATTTCGTGACTAATTTTCCTTCAAGCAAGGTAATTTTAGGAAACGGCTATAGAAGTCAGAAAATATTTTTCCCATGTAAGTGTTTTGTATGGGAATGACTTACCAGCTTATAACTGCGTCATGCTAAAGTGAGTTCCTCGTCCTGTTTCTTTTAAACAGGACATCATTACATGTGATATTTTCACATCAAATTTTTGGAAAGTTACATTTATTACCAGTTTTGTTTGGATGTAACAGCATCACATTGAGTTTGCAGAATACACTAGGGCTGTACAATGTATTAACTGGTTATTTGTCTTTTGTGCCACACCAGACTGATTGTCATCTCAACAACTATAAACCTTTCTATAGAGGAGTACTCTAAAAAGGCACCTATGGCTCTGTGGGATATCAGCCTTTCTATATTTTACATCCTGGTATTTATCATCGCTGTACCTGGAAATGCCTTGGCGCTGTGGGCCTTCTTTCAAGATAAAAGCACCTCCTCCTTTAAGGTCTTCCTGAGAAATCTATCTATTGCAGACATCAGTTACGTCCTAATTTTACCCATGCGTATAGTTTACCACTTGTCTGATGGCTACTGGCCTTTTGGGAGCATCCTCTGTCAAGTGTCATTCTTTCTCTTTTACCTGAACATGTACTGCAGCCTCTTCCTGATGAGTTTAATCAGCCTGGACAGATTTCTAGCTATAGTTTTACCTTTGAGATCTCAAAAAATCAGGAAGCCTTTGAATGCAAAGATAAGTCTTGTCATACTTTGGGTGATAGTTACTGTTTCGATGAGTCCGTCGCTTTTCTCAAAAAAGAACCACGACAACTCAACTGTTGTGTGCAGCATGCTGTACCTCCAAAAGACATCTCCCAACGCTTTGATTTCCACTGCCGTGGCTTTTCTTATCCCTTTCATTACCATAATTATTTCTTGTGTACTGATTTTGTTGAAACTGAGGAAGCTCAAGCAGCAGGAAGGACGTCCGATAAAAGCCAAAGCTATACAAATGATCATTCTTATTTTGATGAACTTCCTGTTTGCGTTCGTGCCCTACCACGTGTGCAGGATCATCTACACTCAAAGTCAAAGTCTTGAACAAGTTGCAACAATGAACAGGTCACTGGAAAGAGCCAATCAGATCACGTCTGCATTGACCTGCATCAGCGGCGCCCTGGATCCTGTGATGTATTTCTTCTTAAATCGAGCTTACAGAAAGACTTTTTTTAAGCTGTTTTATAAAAATAGAAACCATGGTTTGTAAGCATTTAAGAAAAAAAAAAGATAAAACGTCTTTAGAAAGATAAAGAATTACAAATTTAAGTAAGCATCTATTGTTTGTAATTCTGTTGCTCTACAAACATTTGCTGAATAATTTCTGGTTTGTGTAATAGAACAAAAATATACTGTTTTTGGAAAACACGACACAAGATTTTTAGTCTGTTAACTCATAAATGAAAAAAAAACCTCAATGTTTTTCCCTTGCAGAATATTTTATTTTACATGCAAATAATCTGAAACAAATTTTTGCAGCAAATACCACTTTTTTTTTTTATTATTTACTGATTGGGCAAAATTACGAGGGGGAATTTTTTTTTTTAATTTACCGATAGTATCCCAAAACTTCAGAAAAATGCTAGATACCTTAGATACCTTACTTTCAGATTTTTAAAGATGTTGCAACTTTTTGAATGAACATACAGGTCCTTCTCAAAAAATTAGCATATTGTGATAAAGGTCATTATTTTCCATAATATAATGATAAAAATGAAACTTTCATATATTTCAGATTCATTGCACACCAACTGAAATATTTCAGGTCTTTAATTGTTTTAATACTGATGATTGTGGCATACAGCTCATGAAAACCCAAAATGCCTGTCCCAAAAAATTAGCATATTTCATCCCACCAATGAAAGACAAGTGTTTTTAATACAAAAAACACCAACCTTCAAATAATCATGTTCAGTTATGCACTCAATACTTGGTCGGGAATCCTTTTGCATGAATTGACTGCTTCAATGCGGCGTGGCATGGAGCCAATCAGCCTGTGGCACTGCTGAGGTGTTCTGGAGGCCCAGGATGCTTTGATAGCGGCCTTAAGCTCATCCAGAGTGTTGGGTCTTGTGTCTCTCAACTTTCTCTTCACAATATCCCACAGGTTCTCTATGGGGTTCAGGTCAGGAGAGTTGGCAGGCCAATTGAGCACAGTAATACCATGGTCAGTAAACCATTTACCAGTGGTTTTGGCACTGTGAGCATGTGCCAGGTGGTGCTGAAAAATGAAATCTTCATCTCCATAAAGCTTTTCAGCAGATGGAAGCATGAAGTGCTCCAAAATCTCCTGATAGCTAGCTGCATTGACCCTGCCCTTGATAAAACACAGTGGACCAACACCAGCAGCTGACATGGCACCCCAGACCATCACTGACTGTGGGTGCTTCACACTGGACTTCTGGCATTTTGGCATTTCCTTCTCCCCAGTCTTCCTCCAGACTCTGGCACCTTGATTTCCGAATGACATGCAAAATTTGCTTTCATCCGAAAAAAGTACTTTGGACCACTGAGCAACAGTCCAGTGCTGCTTCTCTGTAGCCCAGGTCAGGCGCTTCTGCCGCTGTTTCTGGTTCAAAAGTGGCTTGACCTGGGGAATGCGGCACCTGTAGCCCATTTCCTGCACACGCCTGTGCACGGTGGCTCTGGATGTTTCTACTCCAGACTCAGTCCACTGCTTCCGCAGGTCCCCCAAGGTCTGGAATCGGCCCTTCTCCACAATCCTCCTCAGGGTCCGGTCACCTCTTCTCGTTGTGCAGCGTTTTCTGCCACACTTTTCCCTTCCCACAGACTTCCCACTGAGGTGCCTTGATACAGCACTCTGGGAACAGCCTATTAGTTCAGCAATTTCTTTCTGTGTCTTACCCTCTTGCTTGAGGGTGTCAATGATGGCCTTCTGGACAGCAGTCAGGTCGGCAGTCTTACCCATGATTGCGGTTTTGAGTAATGAACAAGGCTGGGAGTTTTTAAAAGCCTCAGGAATCTTTTGCAGGTATTTAGTTACGTCGTTGATTCAGATGGTTAGGTTAATAGTTGTTTAGAGAACCTTTTCATGATATGCTAATTTTTTGAGACAGGCATTTTGTGTTTTCATGAGCTGTATGCCATAATCATCAGTATTAAAACAACTAAAGACCTGAAATATTTCAGTTGGTGTGCAATGAATCTGAAATATATGAAAGTTTCATTTTTATCATTATATTATGGAAAATAATGACCTTTATCACAATATGCTATTTTTTTGAGAAGGACCTGTATTGATATTGAATAATGTATGTAAAAATGTTTACTATCTAACTGTAAAACATATATTTAGTCTGACAGAAAATACAAATATTAACAATAATTGTTGCATTAAAGTTTTTGATTTTCTGCAAATGTGTTGTCTTCTTGCTGAACGGTGCTTCCTTCCTGCGGGAAATATTTCTTCCTAAAATATATGTAGAAAAAAAAAAACTGCTGTTTCTCCTCACATTTAGATTGTGTTCTATATTTTGACCGGCTTTATTTTTCTAACGTCAACCCTGCAGGATGACACTTCTAAATACATGTTAATAGTTGTTGAAGCAGGTAAATTAATCCCACTGGACACATACGAGTTAAAGACACATTAACATGTTTCCATCTTGCTACAAAGCTGGATATAATAACAATAATTTAAAAAGTCCAGCATGTCTAAAGGTTTTTTCATATAAACAACAAGAGGGAAAACTACATCCAAAACGTATGTATTGAGAAGTGCCAGAAAGTTAAGGTCATGATGACTAAAACTAATGTTTGCAGCACATTGTGCAGTAAAATGTACTAATTGCAACCACCCCTCTTCAAAACTGGAAGCTGGAAAACAAAAAATGATGTTCATTCTGAAACAATAGATGACATTCATTCTTTATTGAAAGCGTTTGGCAATATATAAATTTAGCAATGTAGATAAGTGTAAAACAACAAAATAAAACGTTTTTTTAAAGTATATGAGCAATGTCTTGTGTTACAGCGAAACCCCCTTTTTACAGTTTATGCAACAACAAAAAAATTTTACACTTTGAAGAAAAGAGAAAGCAACATCCCCAAACCATAACATTTTTGTGTGAAAAAGGTTTCACATATCTTTATCTTTAAATTTAAGATGGAAAAATCTTCAACAGCAGAGCAGATTTTAGTAAATTAGCATGGAACAAGAATTGTGGCTCCATACACTATCTGGGGAACTATCAATGCATACAAGTCAGTTTAACATTTAATGTTTCTTCTTCCAAAATCTGAATGTTACAACCCATACACAGATAAAACTGTATTATGAGTATAATTATTTTACATAAACATAATTTAATCTACAGATTGAGCCTAATTTCCAAACTAAACCAAATTGTTTTAACACAAGAAATTTGGTCATTTTTACACCTCCAAACAGGTGGAAATAAGTATATCATCTAAAATATTCCATAAAAAGTAAGCAATCGGTAAATTAAAAGATGGAAAAGAAAAGAGATAATTATATATCGTGCAATGATAAATTAAGTCAGGTCCTCTTGTTAGACTGCGAAAATAACGTGGATTAAAAAATACCAATCGACTTTTATCTTGTTTGACTCTTTTGGGCTTCCGTACTTCGAGCTTGTTACTAAGGCAGCCAGGAGGAAGCTGAGAACCGTTATTTGTGATCTTTAGCTTTAGCGCGATACATTTTCAACTCGAGCTGAACTTTTAGTCGATAGTGTATCGAAGCAAATATTTATATATATATATATATATATATATATATAAACATGTTACCGTGTCATTTAGTCTTTATATGTAAATTTATCGAACAACCACGTCTTTATTTTATCAATTAGCATTCTTGAGAGGTTTCTCTGCTGTCACTCCTGGGTTAGCTTCGTGGATGCTAATGTAGCATTTCTGGCTCGCATGTATCTCAGCCAACATACATAAAACGTATCCAGCTGTTGCCGCGCCGCAGCAGTTATGAACATTACAAAAGGCTGACGTTTTCTCAAATATCCGACCTTCGTTATGGGCACTGCGTCTTCTTTAGTCAGTCCTGGAGGAGAGGTGATTGAGGATGGATATGGTGGTGAAGGAGGAGAAGCCTGTGAGATACCGGTTGAAGTGAGGCCCAAAGCCCGACTCCTGCGCAGCTCCTTCCGCCGAGGACCTCGGGTAATCGGGGCCAGTTTCAAATCCACGGGATCTGTGGATCTTGAATACACAGCAGAGTACGAGAGACTCCGTAAAGAGTACGAAATCTTCCGTGTCAGCAAGAATAATGAGGTTGCATCCATGCAAAGGAAGGAAGCCAAGCTGGATGAGGAAAACAAGAGGCTGAGGGCCGAGTTGCAGGTAAATCAAGGGGCTGCTTAGTCCAAAACACTCATTAACTGCGAGGTGGTGCTTAACAACTCTGATTTTGTTGAGCAGGCTCTTCAGAAGACCTATCAGAAGATCCTCAGAGAAAAAGAAGGTGCTCTTGAAGCAAAGTACCAAGCTATGGAGAGGGCGGCCAACTTTGAGCATGACAGGGACAAAGTAAAACGACAGTTTAAGGTAAACCGTGCCAAAAGCGTGTCTGTATGAGCATATATGACTGTAATTATATAAGGACAACTTAACTTCATAATATATTTGCCTCATAAAACTCAGATTTTTCGGGAGACAAAAGAGAAAGAGATCCAGGACCTCCTTCGGGCTAAGAGGGACCTGGAGGCCAAACTTCAACAGTTACAGACTCAGGGATTTCATGTCTACAGTCCAAACGGTTCTGATTCAGACGATAACCAAACTACTGTGACCGGTAAGACACGTATATCTTTGTATTGAGATCCTGCTTTGGTTTGTTTATCTATCAATATGTTTGATTTGACCTTTTTTTGTTCAGCACCCTATTGTTTTTCTGTTGTTATTTTTTTTCCCACAGCTGTAGGAACACAGTGTGAATACTGGACAGGAGGGGTGCTGGGAAGTGAACCATCGATGGGTAGTATGATGCAGTTGCAGCAGACTTTCAGGGGGCCAGAGTTTGCACACAGTTTAATTGATGTGGAAGGACCCTTTGCAAATGTGAGCAGAGGTAAGAACAAAACAGCAGAGTGAAAAGGTGTTTGTGTGCTGCACCAAAATAGCCAGCATTTTGTACAAAGGTTATGGTTTGTCATTGCTGGAAACTCTGACTTGTGCCGCAATCTTTTGCACTTTAACACATCTCATCTCACTCCTCACACATTTCCTGTCTCTCCCTCTGACAAATAAAATCCGCTAAACAAAAGTACTAAAACCATCACTAAATTTACTGCAGCACTAAACAACTAGTTCTGCATTTCCCATCTTTTACAGTATTGCTTTATGCTGCATACAATCACTTTTGTTTGTTTGTGTGTACTTTGTACTGTGCTTGAAGCATACAGATTACATCATGTCTTATTTCCTTAGATGACTGGGATGCTGCGGTGGCCAGTCTGCTTCAGGTGTCACCTCATGTGCCCCAAGCCTTATGGAGTAACACTGTGCGCTGCTACCTTATCTCTACACAGGACACCAAAGCTGAGCTAGATATCTTTATGAAGGTTTGTTAGACGGCCACAGTAAGTCAGCAAATCTCTACTGTTTTTATGAGTGTTTATGCTAATCACATAGCTTGTGAGAAGACATGGGTCAGGCTTAGTTTTTACTCATTCATCTGTCTTCATAAGTGACTTTTAACAAACTTACTGATGCGTTCTAGTCAAGCGGTGCTTGTCTAATTGTTAATTCAAACCAAGAACAAAATATAATTGGAAATATTTTGTTACGGGTAATTACTGAATTTTCCGTTGTAAAGGTCGCACCGCCCTATAAGTCGCATCAGTCCATATTTGTCTAATAAAGTGGAAAAATCCATAAATACGTTGCTTTGCCGTATACGTTGCATCTATTATGCGTCACCGCTGACGCGTCGCGTTTGTTACGCGTCACTGCTGACAACCCGGAAATGTGGGTCAGTGTTGTGCCAAAAAGTGATTGGCTGCCAAATGGCAGCTGCAGGAGCGTGCACGGGAGGACTTTAACAAGAATTGAACAAAATGAACACTTAAAAACAATTATTTGTTTGCTCGAAATTATAGTAAAGGTGTGTCTCAGCCTATCGTTTGCTTAATAAATTAACTTTGACGGTCAAATCAGCTGCATTTCAAAAGCTGATACATGGAAGTAGGAACGCGCAGAGGGACAAGTCGCTGTGCGTTTCTTCCAAATTTAACAAGATAAACGCCTAAAAACAATTATTTGTTTGCTCGACTTTATAGTAAAGGTGTGTCTCAGTCTAACGTTTGCTTAATAAAAGGACTTTAACGGTCAAATCAGCTGTATTTCAAAAGTATTCACTGCCTCGGTGCTCCTGGGCACGTGCAGACAGGGAGGAAAAAAGGAAGAAGGAACGCTGCACGTTTCTTTGAAATTTAACAAGAAAAGCACCTAAAGCATTTATTTGTTTACTCAAAATTATATCAAAGGTGTGTCTCAGTTGAACTTTTACTTAATAAATGCACTTTAAGGGTCAAATTGCATTTCGCCGGGGCAGTGCAGTGAAATGAAGCTGATTTGACGGTTGCTCGAAGCAGTGAACAGAACGAAGGTGGGAGGCAAGCCGATTGTGTCATTAATAGCTGGTGAAGATTCTCAGTCATCCAGGACATGGTAAATAAAAAAAAAGTTCAAGACAAAAACAATAAAGTCCAGTTGTTTTTGTCTTGAACTTTTTTGAATTTGTCATTAATAGCCACTTTTACCTATTACATGACACAACGGCATGCCTTACAAATCGACTGCCACCTAGCGGCTGAAAGTGGTACTGTTCTCTTTTTTTTTTTTTTCTGTCGGAATGAATGAAAACGGTCATATCTCAGCCAAAAATTGGTTTATAAATCCATCCATCCATCCATTATCTTTACCCGCTTATTCCATTTTGGGTCACGGGGGTCGCTGGTGCCCATGTCCAGCAATCACTGTGCGAGGGGCGGGGTACACCCTGGACGGGTCGCAAGTCCATCACAGGGCCACATAGAGACAAACGAGACAAACAACCATTCACTCTCTCACTCACACCTAGGGACAATTTAGAGTTACCAATCAGCCTAACATGCATGTTTTTGGTCTGTGGGAGGAAACCGGAGTACCCGGAGAAAACCCACGCATGCACGGAGAGAACATGCAAACTCCACCCAGAAAGGCCCCTGGACCGGGGTTTGAACCAAGGACCTGCTCGCTGAAAGGCAGCAGCTCTACCAGTTGCGCCACCGTGCTGCCCTGGTTTATAAATATGGGGGAAAAAATCCATAAATACGTCACTTCAGCCTAAAAGTCGCAGGGCATGTAAATTATGCAAAAACAACGTGACTTATAGGGTGAAAAATACGGTAGATCAAACTCAAACAGAAGTTCTGGATTGTTCACTTTTTATTTTTATTTTTTTAGAATAACTCGTTTCCTTCTGTCTGAGGCAGAAAAAAATGATCTGGATTATTAATTGCCTCCATTTTTTTTTTTCTTCTGTGAAACTTTTACATTTTGTTTTGTTTACAGAAACACTCTTTAGAGTTACGACAGATGTGCGAGTGTCTGGGCCATTTCTACCTAAATGTTTGCTTCCCAGAGGAGACCGCCGCTTCATACATCACAGAGCGCATACAGGAGATCGAAAAGAGCTCAGTGTGTGTGCTTCTTCTCAAATCCACTGTCACTAGGTATAGATGACTTCTGCACCTCTCCGTTTTCTTGACATAGTGATGATTAACTATGTTGATTTTTTTTTTTAATAAATAATTTTTTTTTGTTTGGATTTTCATCTATAACACTTTTTTGCAGCTCTGTAGTAGAGGATTGTGAAGAGGCTTTCGTGAGGAACCTGGATGGCCATTCACTGGTGCTGTACCTTCGGACTGAAGAGGGTAGCAGTTTGACTGAACCCATCAGGGAGCTGTTAGAGAAAGTCAACACTGCAGACAAGGCTGCTAAAGTCAAGGTGTGTCTTATTAAATTAAAGATAAAAGAGAATATGAGGGAGTGCTGCTGCAGTTCTTTGTTAGTAGGTGATAGTTTGTGTCATTAATGAAAAACAAGTTTTAAATTATTGCATTCTGGTCCACGTTTTAATGATCTTTCAGTGTTTTATAGAATTACACACTGGTTTGTGTTTATTTTGAGACGATGAGCTAACTTACATGAGAAATGTCAGAATTCTGCATATTGGATGATTTATTTAATAGCAGTTTAGAGTTGCTATTATTTCTCCTAACATGTTATTTCCTATGTTTCTAATTAAATATTCTACATAGTGGCTTTTAGTCATATTTAACATCTAACAACTTGTTGCATGAATGCTCTTTTCTGCTTTTACCCTCTTTGTTCTCACAGACTTTCTTGCAATCTTACACAGTACAGATCCATCATAGCCACTACTAACTCTGAACAAAATGCAGATGGTATGTGTTTATTGCATTTAAACACGACATTCTGTGTTTTCCTGGCTGCCAAAGCGACACTGGGATTGTTCTGACATTATTCAAAATGTATATCCAGGTGGTGGATCATAGCGGCTTTGCAGAAGACGGAGCTAACCTCATTTATGCTCAGCTTAAGCAACTCATCAAGCAGGTACAAAAGAAGATTTTTGTGTTTGTTCAAAACCTAAAAGAAAGTTTGCACTGAAATTGTTTTTATAGCATTTGTCCCTTGCTCACTATCCAGGAGCTGCTGGGTTTTGAAGCAGCAGATGTGGACTCAAAGGACTCTGTCATAGACGAGGAAGACTCTGGAGACGTGCTGTGGGACCTGCATGATGAACAAGAGCAGATTGAGTCCTATCAGCAGGCTTGTAGCAGCACTACCTCCCAGTTAGGCTTTCAGAAGGCACGGAAGATCTTCTTTGTTCAAATTTCTAATTTGCACTTCAAATTCAGCAATTTTCATGTAGATTAATTCAATGACTCGTGGTTTTCTCAGTATATAGATCGTTTGAATGACATGATAGCTGCCCCCCCTCCCACACCGCCTCTGCTGGTATCTGGTGGTCCAGGCTCTGGAAAGTCTCTCCTGCTCTCCAAATGGTGAGCACTGGTTTGTGAGGTGTAAAATGAACTGACACTGGTGGACCATTTTATAATTTTACCATTTATGTTACAAATATACAACACAATAATTAGTGTTTTTTTTTTTTTATAGGATTGAGCTGCAGCAGAAACAATCCCCCAGCACCTTGTTCCTTTATCATTTTGTCGGTCGCCCACTTTCCACAAGCTCGGAGCCAGTTCTCATCATCAAACGTCTCACAGTCAAAGTAGGAAGTTTCTTTCATTTGCTTTTTTTCTTTTTTGAAAAATGCAAATCTTATTTCAGGTATGGGATCTTGTTTACTGTTTCTCTGTTCGTTTATCGTCTCTTAGCTGCTGCAGCATTTCTGGTTCATTTCTGGTTTAACCATGGACCCCAGTAAGACCTTGGAGAAGTTTCCCCGCTGGCTTGAAAGACTGTCCGCACGGCATCAAGGAAACATCATCATCATCATCGACTCAATTGACCAAATACACGTAAATCCCCCTTATTCTTTAAATCAAACCCTCATCGTGTTTAAGTCTGTGGCAATTCAAACAATTATTTCTTTTGTGCATATTTTTGTCTCTACATTCCAAGAATGATCATCTTCTTTGGATTTTTTTTTTCTTCAGCAAGCAGAACGACACATGAAGTGGCTGATTGATCCTCTTCCTGTTAATGTCAGAGTGGTGGTTTCTGTCAATGTAGAGACGTGTCCTCAAGCTTGGAGGTGGTGCATTCTGCTTAAACTCCATCCATCCATTATCTGTACCCGCTTAAATTGACTGTATACGCATGTCTTCAATAATCTTTATATATTCCCCATGCTGTAAAAATACACATTTGTTTGCATTTATAATTTCTTTCTTTTTAGGTTGTGGCCGACGCTCCACTTAGATCCACTCAGTCCTAGAGAAGTCAAGAGCGTAGTCACTGCAGAGTGTCAGGGTGTGGGTCTCAAACTTACCAAAGACCAGGTCAGTTCCCTTGGAACATTTGCGAGCACAAACAAGAGGTTTGTTTTCTGTTATTGTCGGGAACATTTGAAAGTTTTCTCATTTTGTTTTAGGAGAAAAAGTTAGAAAGGCACTGCCGCTCTGCATCAACCTGCAATGCGTTATACGTCACTCTGCTGGCAAGGATGATCACTAGGTGAGCCATCTCTGGGGGTTTATTGTTATTTTTTTCATTTATGTATAAAAATAAATCAGTAAAGATAAGCTAATGTTTTTTTTATTTGGATTGGTTTGTTCCAGTATCAGCTACAACCTCCTTAACTCTGCTTCTGGGCCATTTATTTCCACAAGCCTTCAAGTTATAAATGTCAGTTTTCTAACTATGAAGTTTAAAGAATGTCTTTAACCTTAATAAGATCATAATTTTAAGACTGTAGAGCATTTTCTTAAAACAGCTTAATAATTTTTAATTTGCTTGTGGATCAGATGGTTTGCTTCAGTACTGCACTAATTAACCATTACACAACCAGCTACAATAAATGTGTGCAATTTTGTGTTTTTGATGACACGAGGATAGAAATAATAGGAAAACGTCAAAATATCCTATATGATTTATATTCAGGTGAACTGTGATTCACCCCTTATGGTAGATATTCCTTGTTTGTTTAATTATTATTCATTTGATTAATATTAGTGGCAGATCTGACTGGTCTCTGGAGAAGAGCCTGGAGCAGTGTCTGCAGTGTCAGGACACCATGTCTCTGTATTGTCTGGCGCTCAAGACGATGCTAAATTCCCTCGACACAGACACAAAGAGACACGTGATGAAAGAGGTGACCTATTAGTTTCCATCATCTGTAAACTGATTCTTCCACTTAAAACAGACTTTTTGTTGAGCTGAATACAAATTGCTGTGTTGTGCTCAGCAGACGGATATGCGCTTGTCTCTTGTTTAGATGCTGTGCCTTGTGTTTGCCAGCCATAATGGAGTGAGCGAATCAGAAGTATTAGATTTGTTCCCAGAGCTGGAGCTACCTGTGCTGTCCTTTCTGCTCCACAACCTGAACAGACTCTGCATTACAACCCTTCGTTGTGGACTCATCAGTTTTCAGCACCTACAGGTAATTCTGCTCCTTGACCAAATTAGGATGACAACATCAATAGGCCCGTCACGATTACAAATTTTGCTGGGCGATTAATTGTCTCAGAAATTATTGCGATAAACGATATTCTTTTACTTTTGATCATAATTAGTAATTATAGTCAAATTTAAGAAGAAATGTTGGTTAATTTTTGTGTGTAGTACCGTTTTTTGACCACCATATGGCGATATAAAACTCTTTGAACCGAAGGATGGATAGTAAGGGAGCGAGCAGCGTGTCTCTTTAAGAAAAATGGGAGGGAGGTCCCTTGACGTGACATGGGCTGTCTCTCCTACCTTTTTATTCGGTTCTCAAAATGACGGACGCTCTGTGTGGTTTGAGCTCTTTAGCATAGCATTTTTCACACAAAGCTTTTAATAAAAAAATCTGTAAACAATTTCTCCGCTTCTTTTTTCAGAGAAAAACAACGTTTTTACACGAAGGCACGGGTTTCAACTTTGAATTTTGGAGCTTTGACAACACAAAGGTTTTTTTTTCCTGAGGTCGGTCTGTTAGCTTAGATCGTAGCTTCTCAGCTTAGCTGCTTTTAACGATCTAAAAACGTGATTTTGGATCATTAAAATGGATTTTAAAGAGAAAGGGAGGGTCAGTGAAGAGCACCGGAGTCGAGCTTTTTTGTCATCCAGTGTCTTCAGTAGAAAGAGAGACACGAAGAAAAGATAAAGCCAATAAATGAAAATGAGGTCGATAATTTTCATTTATCATGCGATTAATTGATTTATTGTTTATTATGACAGGCCTAAAAATCAGTGCAGGTGTTTACTATTAATTGATTTTGTTATCTGTGCATCTGTCAGGCTGGTGAAGCTGTGAGACTGGAGTTCCTGAGTGGAGGAAGCAGCTCTGCTTCTTACAGAGAGAAACTTATTCATTACTTCAACCAGCAGCTCAGGTTCTTATCCTCCCCTCCAACACAACGCTCCTATTCTTCAGTTAGTGTGACTCATCATGTCGTGTGTATGTTTGTAGTCAGGACCATGTGACATGGCGGGTCGCAGATGAACTTCCCTGGCTGCTCCAGCAACAGGAGGAAAGAATTAAACTACAACTTTGTCTTTTGAATCTGTTTGTCTCCCAAAATCTCTATAAGAGGTGCGTGTTTGTGTTAACTGGGGACATGTTCACACAGAGGGTGACATTATTCAGCCTAACGTGCCTTTTGGCTTCATCCAGGGGTCATTTCACTGAACTGCTGGCCCATTGGCAGTATGTGGGCAAAGACAAAACTTCCATGGCAACCGAGTACTTTGACTCTCTGAAACACTACGAGAAAAGCTGCGAGAGTGAAGAAGACATGACCAAGCTCGCAAACCTATATGAAACTTTGGGACGTTTTCTTAAAGACTTGGGCCTTCCCAGTCAGGTAATGACTTCTAGACTTTCCAAGTGAAAATTGGAATTTGTGCGTATATTTATTTCTGTGTGTTTTTTTTAGGCTGTAGCACCTTTACAAAGATCTCTTGAGATCAGAGAGACAGCCCTAGACCCAGACCATCCCAGCGTAGCTCGTTCTCTGCACCAGCTGGCTGGAGTTTATGTCCAGTGGAAGAAATATGGGAATGCTGAGCAGCTGTACAAGCAAGCGCTTGAGATAAGTGAGAACGCCTACGGTGCAGAACATCCCAGTGTGGCCCGGGAGCTAGAGTCGCTCGCTGTGCTCTATCAGAAGCAAAACAAGTAAATGCAGCGATTTGATGTTTATGTAGAAAGCTATCCAACTTTTGCTAGATCTGAGAGAATATTTGAGAGTAAATTACACTTTGCCAAGATGAGAACCAGTTTAACATTTTAAGGCTTTTATCATCAGGTATGAACAAGCTGAGAAACTAAAAAAGAGGTCAGTTAGGATCCATCAGAAGACTGCCCGCCAGAAAGGTCATATGGTGAGCAACGTTCACAGAAAATGTCAATTGCAGTGTCACACTGATTTAATTAGTCGTATGCCGTCTTCTGCTTTTGTCAGTATGGCTTCACTTTGTTGAGACGCAGAGCCCTCCAGCTGGAGGAGCTGACCCTGGGAAAAGACTCCGCAGATTCTGCTAAAACACTCAACGAGCTAGGTGTCCTCCACTACCTCCAAAACAACATGGAGTAAGACAAAGGAACCATTTTTCTGCAACACCATGTCTAACACAGATCCATGGAAAATCTAGATGTGCGCATTGAGCTGTAAATGTTTGCTAACTTGGCTAAAATTCCTCGTTTCACCCTCATCAGTGCAGCAAAGGTATTTCTGACCCGCTCACTGGAGATGCGTCAGCGTGTCCTCGGCCCAGATCACCCAGACTGCGCTCAGTCTCTCAACAACTTGGCCGCCCTGCACACTGAAAGGAGGGAGTACGAGACCGCCGAGGACATGTACGAGAGGGCGCTGGAAATCCGCAAGAAAGCCTTGTCGCCAGACCACCCCTCTCTGGCGTACACACTCAAACATTTGGCCATGTTGTATAAACGCAGAGTGAGACATCAACATTTGTTAATGCAAAACTTTTAACACACTTCTTGTTGATAACCTCATCTAGTGATGCTTTGTGTCCCACAGGGGAAGCTGGAGAAAGCAGTTCCTCTTTACGAGTTATCTTTAGAGATAAGGGAAAAAAGTTTTGGTCCCAAACATCCAAGTGTAGCCACAGCGCTGGTAAACCTCGCTGTAGTCTACTGCCAGCTGGTGAGATGCATGCCTTCTCTGTTTAGATCACACATTCTTTATCATTTCAAATGTAATTATGGGTTATAGTTCTTTAAATAGAAAAAAAAAAAAAGCTACGCATTTTTTTTTTTTCCGTTCGACAGAAGAAGCACAGCGACGCCTTGCCGCTTTACGAACGAGCACTCAAAGTGTACGAGAACAGTTTGGGCCGCTCACATCCACGAGTTGGCGAAACCCTGAAGAACCTGGCTGTGCTTAGGTAAAAATGCATTCATATTTTTCTAACGTGTTCTCACACGATGTCTTAGTTCATACATATTTTTTTTTCTCCTGATCCAGTTATGAGAGGGGTGATTTTGAGATGGCAGCTGAACTTTATAAGCGTGCGATGGAGATTAAAGAGGCCGAGACATCATTAGTGTGTGGCAACGCCCCGTCACGCCACTCCTCCAGCGGGGACACGTTCAGTGTGAAGGGGCCAGCTCCACCAGCACATGCTCCGAGGTGAACCACTATGAATCGCTCAATCATGCTCTGATGGCTCCAATTTAAAAAAAAAAGTAGCATAAACTTCAACTCCAATGCCTCGTCACTAAAGGACTTGACACGCTGCACTTTTCCATTACATGTGCTCTCATGCTAGACTGGGGTAATGTTATTTTTTTTTTTAATTATTATTATATTACTACTACTGCAACTTTAGAAATTTTTATATTTACAGTTTTATTTTGTTTATTCTGCGGTACTTTATATCAGTCATCTTTTTGTACGATTGATTTTTGTTTCCCAAATTTTAACGTAGCAGCAATGTATTCGAAGCCATGAAATTATCCCAATCTTGTGCCAATGAACGCCTTCGTTGCTTTCAGTTTTATAGTTTTTGTGCAAATTTTTAGTTTTTTTTTTTTATTTATAGCTAAAATGAATACCTTGAAAACATCTAAAACCGTTTCATAAAAACTGGACTTAAAAAAAAGCACTTTTTGTTGTCAATACAGACTATAGGATATATCAGATACTTAAAAAAATGTTTTATGCTGTGGTACACGTTTACATAACCTTGGTTGTTCACTAATAAAAATAGAACAAATGGAGCTTAAAGTTCAAAAACAAGTTAGATGTCTAAGGAGACATCTTATCTGATAATGTTTACATGTTGTGTGTACTGTACACATTTATTCCATAACCAGATAAACTCCAAGGATGCTTCCAAAAACATGTGTCCCGTTTAAGTCTCAGTCAAATTCCAATGCAATAAACTGTTTACTGCTCTGTCTGAACCACATAATGTTTTTAGTGCTTTTTGTATAAACGTATATTGTAATTTACTTCAAATGCTGTTCAGAAAAACAAATCAAACGTGGTATTACAATTGCAGTCCATCTAATAATTACTTTATTGAGACAACACTGTTGCAGCAGAATGACAGAACATACAGAAGAAAAGCTGAACTATTCACCAACTTCAACTTTAGAAAAGCAATATTATTTAATGCATTAAAGGATATTTAATCAATTTTCTTAGCCATTCTTAATAAATCGATTTCACTCCAAGTAGATTTCTTGCATGTATGAAATGCTTTTAACATGTCTCATGCGTTACTCAACATTAGCTGTTAAAAATGTTAAATGTAATTTAAAAAAAAAGATGTATATAGATGTGGAAAAGAAATTAAACTGCAGATTGTTGCCTACATTTTTTTCATCTGAGCCATTAAGTCTTCTAAGCTCATTTCAGTCTCATCCACTGTCTCTCCATTCGGTACATTCTGTAAGAAACAAAAACATGTTCAGAATTTACTTTAAAAAGGCCAAAATGAAGCTAAGGATACAATAAAATGTGAGGATTTGAAGGGTTTCTTATTTTTCTGGTAAAACACTAACCTCATCTGGAATGGTGTAAGCTACTTTGATGCCTTCTGGGAGGTCGGGTACAGTTCCTGATGCAGCCTGTAGCTCTGCATCTGTGACTTCAGATACCAGCTCAATACCTGTATGGCACAAATGTGTTTATGCAAATACAATGACAAAGATAGAGCCAACATAATATCTATGTTAGAACTCTTAGCTCACCCCATTCATTGTCTTCATGGACAACCTCTTCTTCCTCCTCCTGCACAGCTTCCACTCTTGGCCGCTCTGCTTCTTTCTTCTAAACAGAAAATGTCAACAAGATGGGGAAAAGTTAGCTTGTCTGACTGATAAAGAAATCAAATAGTAGTCAATATGTTGGAGAGCTCATGTACCTTGTACTCCTCTTGTTGTCTTCTGCAGTGACGGTCATTACACTGGGGGTTGGCCTTCATGGTCATGGAAGGGAAAAAGTCCTGCATGGCATTGTAGCCGAGATAATAGCTTACTGTGCCAAACTTCAGCAGATACCTAAAGGACAAAATGTTCAACTTAACTCCACTAGCATATGTCAAATTTAGCATTTTAAAGGGTTAACATGGCTTAAAAACAAAAACATACTTGAGGACATTTTGCACAAGGATCCCTGCAACCACACCCATTGTTGTAGGTAAGCTAGCAGCACACACGCCCTCTCGTTTTAGGGTTTTTTCATCAATGTTAGCAGCAACCACCAATGGAGGAGCACACTAAAACCAAATATCGTGTTTCACTTATTTACAATATAAAGAGCATCATGAATGTTAATTAACATTTTTGTGTGTACACGTACAGCAAAGCAGGCTGTCTCTCCAGGAATTATGAGCTGGATGTGACCTGACACAGCGTTCTCACTCACACCAGACTCCATCCAGATCTGACCTAGTTCATTACAAGCCTGTAATAAACATTAAAATAAATAAAATCAGATGGAAATCCAGCTTTGTGTGTGTGTTTTTAAAGTGGAAAAACGTACTGTGTTGATAGCCATCCTGGCCTCAAAGTTATCCACACAGCTCAGGACCAAATCCACTGGTTTTCCTTCTTCCAGCCCTCCATGACTGAAGGAGAACAATTTGCTGTGGAGTTACTTTAGACAACAAGACAGAAAAACATAAAATAAAGTCGGACTCCAAACCTGACGCGATCCATAAAGTGTGTGAAATTTTCCAGTGTTGTGATATTGTAGTTATGGGTCTCAAACGCCACATCTGGATTGATGTTTCTGTTGGGGAAAAGTGATTCAAGCATGAGCAAACTAAACTGAATACTTGTAAATGGAAAAACAGTGATCCTCTGCTGACCTGAGTGTGTGCTCTGCTGCTTCCACTTTACTGAGGCCTGCCTGGTGTGGCTGGAAGAACAGTCTGTTCATGTTGGCCAGCTCCACTTTATCATAGTCGAACAGCAGCAGCTGCAGTGACAGAAATGGCAAACTTGAGATCGAGCACAACTGTAAAAAAAATGACAAACCTAGTGTTTAAATAAGAAAAAAAAAGGTTTCTATTACCTTACCAATGCCACATCTAGTTAGCATCTCAGCTGTCACGCTGCCAACTCCACCAACACCAACTACAGCCACTGAAAAGGTACGGATTTTCTGTAAACAAATTTAATGATGGTTATTTATTCAATAACATTGCAGTCAACTGAAAGATGATTCTCTGTTCAGGTCTTATGAGGGTTGGTTTTTTTTAAATTCCCCACTAATTTAAAAAAAAAATCAACGAATTTAATATGTCTGTCCATGGAAATTCTGTCAGAGCAGCAACCACAACAAAAGAGAAGACACGTCAAGAGTCATACCTCATAGTCCTCCACGATGCCCATTCTTTTTAAAGCCATCAGACGGCTGAAAAGACAAAACAGCTGAGATTAGCTTGTGGTCGGTGAGTAACAAGAGAACGTCGCCTTTGTTATTCGAACTACATTTAAAACAGTCAAACGTACAAAACAAAAATATTGAATTAAAAGTTACCTGTATGGGTTGGAATCCACGACTTCGGAGCTCATTTTGTCAATTTTGGGTCTGTTCATCGCCTGAGCATCTTCCATCATGACACACTGCTGCTGCTTACATTTTATCAATTCGTTTTCCAACTCTCGCACCCTCAGCTTCAGCTCCTCCACCGTCGCCATTTCAGCTAAATAAGTGTTGTTAAAAATAAACAAACTGTATTGTTACAAATTAAATGGCAAATGGACCAAAAATCAACACGAAAAGTACACGTCTTCTACTCCGAGACGAGTTATGTGCGCATCTAAATGGCATCCGTGTGGAAAACGAGCCCAGTCTCTCTAAGGGTTCCTTTTTTTCTTATTCATCATTCGAAAATTTAAGTTGTCAGGTGAAAACAAATCTCAGAAATGTATTCTACATCTCAGTTGTAGCTTTTCAGTATACAAGGTACATTATTTGAGGTTAACAATGAGACTGTTTTATTGAAGTGCTCTTTATATTGCAGATGCAGATTTGTTTGATGTTATTATGAGTGTTGTCCAGCAGGGGGCAGCAGCAATCCAGCAATATTAAAGTGTCAAGTGACTCTAATCACCGACTCTGGTAAATGGACGGACCAGAGCCCTGTAAAGAGAGAGTTGCGACACTCCCATAGACTCCCATAGAAAGAATGGAATGCGGAAGTCACGTGGGTCATGAAGCGGCAAAGAGTTCCAAACAGCAGCGGGTTCAGCATTGAACGTAGTTCATTCTCCGTGTTTTCCCGGTAAGTTGATGCAAATACGACACTTTTTTGCCATTGTGAAGCGTTATCTGACTGTTCTGTACCTCAATTTATCAACATTAATACTTCATGTCGCCAGTTTTAGTTAATGAAACATGTTAAATTGCTAGTTGTTTTAACTGCAGCTGCTCTGCAACATGACGGTTTAAACGGGTCTATTTCTAATTCAACGTTTTAAAATATCTATTACTGCTTACATTTTGAAAGGTGGTCTTTTTTAAATTTATGGTAATTCCAGTTACTGAACTCAACTAGAAAATATTTGTCCTTTTTTTCCTGAGAGATTCGTTCAACCTTTATTTCTACAGGTAAATCCCATTGAGCCTCGAGGACTCATTTACAAGAGAGACCTGATTTAACCAAGAATGATGACAACATGACAACAAGACTGATGTAATTTAGTTCAAGTTATAGATCATTTGTCAAAGACTGCAGCATAAATTGTGACATTATCATTAAAGAAAAACGTGATTGTGGAGATGAGTCAATGTTTTCATGTTTTCCAGGTAAACCAGAGGAGAATGACTTCATGAACTGAATGTTGCATTCAAAGTATCACAAAGGTACAAGATCTCATTTTCTGTCTTCTATTAATCAATAACAGCGTAATCAAGATGTTTGAATAAAATTACTTTAACACCATAACCTTCACAAAGTTATTTACTGCAGTTATTTACTGCAGTATTTACTGCAGGACTGTTAATTTAAATTAGTTTTATATTACTAGTTCAGCGTATGGTAATCATGGGTCAAGTTGAGATGAGACTCTTTCAAGACAGAACAAGAAATAAGAATTATTACAAGAATATATCAGCATCAATAAACTGTAGAACAGTAACAAAACACTTATTAAACTATCACAGGTACATTGAGATGGAGCTGGAAGTTGTTCTTCATGCCAGTTGTCTTCATCTGATCTTTTGTAAAAATATGCCAATTTATTTTCCATTAACATTTTTCTTCGCAGGACTGAGTTAATTTTCTTGTCTGTGAGTTTCTTCTGTCCTGCTTATGGATTTTGTGTTGTAATTGTTCCTCAGGTTGTTCATCTCTGTTCCCTGACTGCCTGTTGATCCATCCTCCTGGTCCTGTTGATCCTGGATCATCAGATCCTGACATGTCCTTGACCTTGACCTTGACCTCTCTAAGTGGCTTTAAGAATCTGTTGGACTCCTGGCAGGGACCAATGCAGACATGTTCCTGTTTTTAGTTTTATACATTTGTCTTGGAATCTAGCTGTTTTTTTGTTTTGTTACCTTTTTCCTTTTAGCCATCCTATTTGTTAAAAAAAACAAACAAACAAAAAAAACTGTAGTATGAGTTTTTATAACTGCTTATTGTTGTTGCTGTTGTCCATTGTTGTCATCTTTCTTTGTTGAAATCAGGTCTCTCTTGTAAATGAGTCCTCGAGGCTCAATGGGATTTACCTGTATAAATAAAGGTTGATTGATTGATTGATGTCCCCGTCCTCTGAGGATACATTTTCATCTTTCCCTCATCTCACTCGCCTCATTTCTGTTTCTTCCTCAGTCTCTGAAATTACAACGTCACTGTTAGAATGAAGATTATTGTTCAATAAAAATATGACAGGAATTATTTAACACTGTTCGTACCAAAGTTTAATTTAGAACAACATGTGTGATCACTGGTCAGGTCACTGGTCAGTGGAAGTTCTGCTGTTCTTCTCATCTGGTTCTGGTTGAACCTCCTTCAGTCTCACATGTTCTCACTGTGTCTCTGTGAAATGTCCTCTCTCTAAATGTGTCTGTAGAGTGACATTAGTTTATTTTCTTGCACATTTCTTTGACAGTTAAACATTTTGAGCCCTGATTGAAAATGTTTGTACAGATTAAATTTACAGCTCTCACTTTGTGTTGTTGTGATGATGATGGTGCTCCTGCTGACTTGAGATGATGTCATTAATAAACAGTATAAATAGTAGTAAAAGTACTTTATTAAAGCTTGCTTTACATTTTACATATTTTATAATAAATTGTTTGGAAATTTATTTTTGCACAGTTAACACTTATTTTGTCATCTGTTATGATTTTAACTAGAAACAGTTTCATTTAAATTAACATTTTAATCAATGAATTACAGTTTTACAATAGTTGTCAGGCTACAATCAACTCAGTTATCAGGTACTTAGTTGCCATAAAAAAAAACAAATACAACAATTATATTCAGTCTCTCTTGTAAATGAGTCCTCATGGCTCAATGGGACGAACCTGTTTAAATAAAGGTTGAATTAACATCTTCTATAGAAATCAAGAATTCATCCAGATGATCTGAGGTAAGCTGGAGCAGATCTGAACTGCTGCATGGAGGACAAGGTGGAGCATTCTCATGCAGAGAACATCAGAAATAGCTTTATAACAGGAGTTACTCTGATCTTTTATTTATCGTGTGTAACGTTATAAAACACTGACATGGCTATATTGATCATTGTATTGCATATACATTTTTTTCTAACAAATATGTGTTTGCAGTCTCGTTTCCTTCTAAAATTTAATGATAAATGTATCAGCCGCTTCTAAAAATGCTTTGATAAAATGCATAGTTTGTGATCAGTAATCAGTTAAGTAATCAGTTCGTTACTGCTCAGCAATTACTGAAAGACGTCAGGTAAAGTAAGAAAAGTCGATTTTTGTGTTATGTTGCGCCAGCAGCCGCTCAAAATGACTGACAGCGAAGAGCTTTTTGGAACTATGGGGAGCTGCATGAACCACGTGACCGCGTATCGGCGAGTTCAAAGAGTGTCGCAACTCTCTCTTTACAGGGCTCTGGGACGGACCATTCTTTCTATCTTATCAACCTACTCAAAGGTTTTTACACTAAAATCTGTTTAATTATGATAAAATGTAGGATCCAGCAGAATACAAAATGACAAATTACGCAAATATTTTAGCAATTTGTTTAAATTTATGACTCGCAGACATTTTTTAAAGTTAGAATCAACCAATTTAAACCAGCCACTAGGGAGCACAAGCCAGTGTATTTCTTGTACCAAGCCAGGGTAAATGGCGAGGGTTGCATCAGGAAGGGCATCCGACGTAACGTTTTTGCCAAAACTAATATACGAGTTCATCTAAGTGACACTGTACCATATTGAGCATGCATCAGGATACTGTACCATATTGGTCAAGGCCGGGGTTAACGATGACTGTCACCGGTGCTGTTGACAAACGGTGCTGGTGGAAATTGTGCTACTGTTAGTCGAAGACCACAAAGAGGGAAATGTGTCAGGAGACACAAGGAGAAGAGGAAAGTCAAGAATGTAGGCCTGATGGTGGCAACTATAAATGTGGGGACAATGACAGACAAAGGTAGAGAGCTGGCTGACATGATGCAGAGAAGGAAGGTAGATGTTTTATGCGTCCAAGAGACCAAGTGGAAGGGCAGCAAGGCTCGCAGCATTGGAGCCAGTGCTGGTCCAAGCCTCCATGGGGCCCTAAGTGAAATTTGGTTTGGGGCCCTCTATTTCTGCTAATAATGTGGATTACTGCAATCAACAGTCAGATGATCAGGTCATTCACCCACCTAACATTAACTCATTGCAAATCTGACAGCCCTGTTTACATTATCCTATATGTATATATCAGTGGTACTAAAAGTAATCACAAAAAAAAAAAAAAAAAAAAAAAAACACCAGTATGCAATGTATTTTACAGCAAAATTGTCATCTGGTTTATTATCTTTGGTTCCAAAGAACAACAGTAATGTGCAAAATAATTTGTAGTGCAAGATCAACAACAAACAACAGACAAAATAACTTAGATGCATAACAATAAATTAAGTTAATACAAAAAGACTAAATAAAACAAAATAAAAATAAAATATAAAGGAAATACTTGAATAATGTAAATGAGCAATTACTTGAAACCACATAAAATGGTTTAAAAAGAAATTTAAAGTTGAATAATTAGTTCTTAAAACTATGTAAATGTATGCAATAATTTGCAAAAGCTGAACTTAAAATAATAAATAGAATTGTAAAGAAATCATTACATATCAACATAATCATACATTATCATACATTATCAACATAATGGTACTTTCTCCAGTTATTTAACAGTCAACAATGGTGTACCACAAGGCTCAGTCTTAGGACCCACCCTCTTTACAATCTACAAAGGTAATGTTATCTATATATATATATATATATATATATATATATATATATATATATATATATATATATATTGTATGTGTGTATGCCTCTTTTATAATTGTCTATTGTTGTCGCTGTTGTCTATAATTGTCTATTGTTGTCGCTGTTGTCTATTGTTGTCATCATTCTTTGTTGAAATCAGGTCTCTTGTAAACAAGTCCTCGAGGCTCAATGGGTTACAGACTAACAGATGAGGTCAGGCAGTAATCCCCGTGGCCTACAATATTTGCAGATGACATTGTGATCTGAGGTGGGAACATGAAACAGATGGAAGAGAACTTGGAGAGGTGGGGGCATGCGTTTGAAAGAAGAAAGTCAACCGTAGTAAGACAGCGTACATGTGTGTGAACGAGAGGGAAGTCATGGAACAGTGAGGCTACAAGGAGCAGAGGTCACAAAGGTGCAGGACTTCAAATATGGTCAACTGTCCAGGAAAATGGGGAATGTGGTAAAGAGGTGAAAAGAGAGTCCAAGCAGGATGAGTGATTTGCAACAAAAGGGTGACAGCAACAGTCAAAGGAAAAGTGTACAAGACAGTGGTGAGACCAGGTATGTTGAATGGGAGTTTACCACAGGAAACCCACTGGTAGATCTCACCTACTTCCTCATACCTCAATACTTGCCCACAAATTTCTGCATGACCAAAACAGTTGGCATGTTACAGAGAATAAAATGTAACATCAATTATGAATGAAAACCTTGAACAGAACTGAATATTGCCAATATTGTACAATGGAAAGTTATGGATTTTAATTTCTCACTGTGCATGTATTCCAGCTGCTGGTGATCTGAGCTCCTTTTACTGCAGATGTCGAAGAATCTCACCAACGTCTGTGCCACAACTGAACTTCTACTTGGCTCTGTCTGTCTTTAAAATGGCTGCAATCGCTCAGGTCTTCATAAAGTTTTAAGCTTTAAAGTGATATTTCAATCTTTTTAAGTAGGGTTCTGTGGAAATTGTTTTTTTACCTGTTGAAAATAACTTTACCTGCGACCTGTCCAGGGTGTACACCGCCTCTCACACAGTGACAGCTGTATGGACACCTGTGACCTTGCGACTCGAAAAGGAAGAAGCGGATGAAGATAATGGATAAAAAAAAACTCTTTGATTGCCTCTGTTCTGAGAAATATAGTTTATTTCTGACTAAATTGACGAGTGAGTCTTCAGCAGCACCAGGAAGCTGTAGGACGTTTTGCAAAGCCTGAGGCACTTTCTGTAGGAATATCACATTTCTATTAAATAAAAGTGTATTTAAAAAAATCTGACAATTGTGTAATTTGCACAAACCACTGTGTAATTTTTGTATTTAGACTTGTTTGTTGGTTAGAGTCACTTTGGTTTTGGCTCTGGCTCCAGTCCGACTAGCTGTTAGCTCCAGTCAGAGTTTAACAACTTTTCCAAACTAAAATTTTTCAAATAGCTATAAACAACAGGTATGATCTTAACTCATCAACTTTCCACATAATCCAGTTTTTAAAGATCTGAACTATCACTGGAATATTTTGTAACATTACTAGAAATTTCTAGCAGTGTTTTGATACAGTTGTCCTGGCTCTAAATAGATGGATGCAGAATATTTATTTCTGTTTTCTTAGGGGATCCATGCTCGTTTCCTGCAGGGAAATGCCAGTGCTCCCAATGCAAATGAGTTTGGTCAGAATGTGGAGCCTTTGGCTAAAATAGCGTTGCATCTTGCCAAAAGGTGAATTATTGTTATGAATTGATTAATATGCACCAGTTCACAAATTTTATGTGAAATAAACTGCTATTGTTGTTTTTAACCACTGAGTCCACCTACAGACTTGATGTTTGAGCCAGTAAGGGTTGGAATTTGGCATCCAGCTGTTGCTTCCAAATCTGATATTTCCTGCCAGTTGTAAACATTTCAAATGTGATTTGTGCTCAGGCCCCTCACCGGTCCAACAAACGACGATCTGTTCCTTCAGACAGTTAAAGGCCGAGCTGTTCTCCAGCAGGTCAAAGACTTCATCCAACAAAACGTGTTTCCTGCTCAGCAGGTCGGTGCCAAGAACAGAAGAGATTTGTATGCTCTGATGGAAGTTTAGCTTGATCGTGACAAGATCTGACAGAGCAGTTCATTCATGCAATTGGGATTTGTTAATAAGAGTGAAGGAAATAAACGACTGTCTGAATTATGTTGCATGAAGAATCATCACAGTTGGCTGAACATCACAGGGTTTTTGCTGCCTTATTCTGTAAAAACTTTGGGCGCCCCAGAAAAAAACAAAAAACAACTCAAATTATAATAATTGAAGCTTTGCATTAATTTCTTTTCTTATATTTTCTCTGATCATGAGAGAAAAGCAAACGTGGAATTACAGTTTTTACTCCTGTTTGAACAGTGATAAAATGTTTTTTTTTTTTCCATCAGGAAGTTGCAGAATAAATATGCTCAGTCTCAACAGAGGTAGAACACCCCCCAAATCGTAGAGGACCTAAAGGTATACAGGATCATTGTTGTTTTATTGAATAAAACTTGTTTCAAGCTGTGAAACTAAAAACTTTTTCCCCAAAAAAATACAACTAAAAGAACAATATTAAAGTGCAGTTGCATGTGTTAAGTCTTTAGAACTTCTTCTCCTTAGTCTTTTTTTTAAACCAGACTAACTTGTGCATCTTCTCCATGACTCATCACTCACCACAAACTGTCATTATTGATTTAAAAGGAAAACTATGTTTAACAGTTACAGCCGGATTATTGATTTTTGTATGCGTTTATTATAATTTATGAAGCTGAGCTCAGCGCCGCTAATGTCTGTTTGTCACAAGTGATTTGTACATTTCTTTTTTTCTGTGCAGGTGAAAGCCAGGCAGGTGGGGCTGTGGAACCTGTTCTCGCCTGCGATCAGTGGACTCACATCTCACTCAGGTGGATTTTGCTTACATTGCAGAAGAAACTGGATGCTGCCTATTAAGTGCTGAAATCTTGTACAATGAGCAGAATGAGTAGGTTTTCATGAAATTGGCCATAAAAAAATTGTCCATGATTTCACTGATGGCATCAGAAGCAACAAATACATGTTGGAGACAGGATATTTATTCCTCAAGTTGTAACCAAAACAGTGGCCGATTTAAAAGAGCTTTATTTATGAGGACAAATATATATACCTTCATGTCTGAATCACCACCTTTTTGTGGTAAAGGAGTTTTTGTGCCTTAATGATCTGAGGAGCTTTGCTGTTGGTGGCATTTGCTCCTTATAGGGTCTCCCAAGACAGATTGGTCCTAAGTGTCAGGCCAGACAAAGATAATACTCGCATGGAGAGACTTCAACAAGGAGCTTGTTGTCCCTCACCCAAACGTGAATTTCTATGGCCACACCCTGAAGCCAGGCTTGGAGGAGGGGCTTAATGGCAAGCTCTTGGTGACTGGGACTCATAATATGCATGTGGCCCAGTATGGTTCAGCCCAAATGAGCTACGTTACCTTCCTGTGAACCCACCACCTGCAGGAGGTGTCATATGAGTCGGGTGCATAATGCTGTTGTAGCTGAAAACGGGGGCCTTGAAACTTTGATCCTGGCTTACCAAAGTGGCACATGGACTGTCACCTCTTGGGCAGGGAAGGAGCCTGAGCCTGTGAGTAAGGTTGAGCGGTATTGACTAGATATAGTTGAGTTCACCCCAATGCCCGGCATTGGCTGTTTTACCAGTCTTCTTGAGAGGGGCTGGATCTTATTGTACTCTGGAGTTGCCTATGGTGAGAGGCGATGTGCTGGTGTGGGTCTACTTATCGCAGCCTGGCTTGGTCACTGTGCGTTGGGGTTTTTCCCGGAAGATGAGGGTAGCTTCCCTGCACCTTCAAGTTGGGGGACAAGCTCTGACTGTTGTTTGCGCCTACATGCCAAACAGCAGTTCAGAGTATCCGGCCTTCTTGGAGTCCTCAGTGGGGGGTGGGTGGGGGGTGGGGGGGGGTTGGAAAGTGCTCCAGCTGGTGACTCATTTATCCTGCTGGTTGATTTCAATGCCCACGTGTGTAGCAACAGCGTGACCTGGAGTGATGTAACTGAGAGGAATGGCCTCTCTGATCTGAAGCAGAGTGATGTTCTGTTGTTGGACTTCTGCGCTAATCAGGACAATGTAGGCCGCAGAGCGATGAATGGCTTTTTAGTATTGCCAACTAATCTGTGGCTGTACGTTTTAGACACTCGAGTGAAGAGAAGTGCTGAGATGTCAACTGATCACCGCTTAGTGGTATGTTGGATTACAGTAGATGGCAGGTGAAGATTTCTGAGAGACACAACAGACCCAAATGTGTAGTGAGTGTTGCCAAGAACACCTGGGAGAAGAAACTGTCAGAAGGATCTTCATCTCACACCTCAGAGTGAAATTCAACCACATCCCAGCAGAGGCCGGGGGCACTGAATCCAAGTAGGCTATCTTTCACACATCCATAGCCGAAGAGGCTGCCTTGAGCTGTGGCCAAAAGTTTGTCGGTGCCTCTCACAATGGCCACCCTGGAACTTTGTGTTGGACACCCCCAGTTAGGGAGGCCCTCAAGTTGAAGGAGTCCCATCATGCATTGTTGGCTGGTGGGCCTCTGGAGACAGCTGAGGAGTATGGGCGCACCAAGCGAACAACATCAATGGCTGTTGCTGAGGCAAAAGCTCAGATATGGGAGGAGTTCTATGAGGTCTCGGATAGAGACTCAATCGGGTCTGAGGAGATTCTGGCAAACAATCAGGTGGCCGAAGCGGGGAACGCAGCACTTTACCAACACTGTGTTTAATGAAGGTGGGGTGCTGTTGACCTCAACCAGTGATGTTGTTGAGCAGTGGAAGGAATACTTTTCTGACCTTCTCAATCCCATCAACGCATCTTCCATAGAGTAAGCTGTGTTGGGGGACTTTGGGGTTGGTCCGTCCATAACCAGGTAGTTAAAAAGTTACAACTTCTCATTGTTTCCTCAGAGCCTGATGTTACGTCCAGTGATGCAGCCAACATAGAGTGCAGTCTTTGCAGGGAAAAAGATAGCTATGTTATAAATGACAAAAAGTGTGGAGCAGCAGTGAGTTCATTTATTTTTATCTAATCCTGTACACTACAGATATCCTGGCCTATTTACATCCCAGAATGTCCTCAGAGAACATACTATAGACGGCATAAACTGTCAACAAGTATTTTTATTTGAGATAAATAAACATGCTTTAAACTTCTTTCTAAGCGGAAGAAATGCATGAACTGAATGTTTGTCAAAGAATAAACCTGAATTATTTTTTTATTTTTATTTTTTATTTTTTTGGGGGGGGGGGGGTATTTTTATTTTTTATGGCCATTAAGGTAGTAAAGCCCCAATATGTTGCATGCTAATCCAAACAGCTAGCATATGCAACAAAAAGCTCAGATGACTCCCATAAATAGTATAATATAACATAAACATGTTTTAATGACCCTGCACATTTTAAATCTATTTTATTTTGTTTAAGAAGGCTTTAACTTGCTAGAAGTTGAACTAGTACGAGGTCATGGATTCCATCTACAATAGTCACAACTGACATTTTACCTCTGGATTGAGTCATGATCGGATTGTTCTCATGTAAACGATACATTTAGATTATTTAATCCGAATACATTTCAAACCGATCAAAGAATTTTACGCATGTAAACATAGCTAGTGTAAGGGATGCAAGCTGCTCAATAAAGGAAAAACAACAACAATGGATTAAATGCTAATAACTTGAACAAACCGTAAAGCTTTATTTTGTCAATTTAATATTTCAGAATAATAATTCACAATTTACCTTTTTTTTTGGATGATTGTTTGATCCATCCTTACTTAGCTCTAATAAGGAACTTTATTTTTATATTTTTGTTTTACTATTAAAATACTAAATATGAAGTAAGTAACACAGAAGTGTCCTTCAAGGAGGGCTGATAGCTTGGTGTTCAGTCTTGTAATCCTGAGGTTGCGGGTTAGAGCCCAGGTTGCTTCAGGAAGAGCATCCGACGTGAAACAATTGTCAAATCTTTCAAGCGAGTGTGACAACCCCTGAAAAAGGGAGCAGCCGAAAGAAACTTACTTACACCTGTGTCCTGTGAACAGAAAACTGAGTGTGTTGAGCTTGGAAATACAATTGCAGTACAAATCCAGGCTGGATTTTTTTGTATTAAAAAAAAAAAAAAAACTTTTATCAGTTTCAGTAAATTTTAAAATATCTCTCATATTTCTTCTTGCACGCGTAGAACCTGAAAGTTATATTTATTTTCGCTCTACAGCTCACAGTTTCTGTCTGTCACTCAGCTGTGGTTGGACTCATCTTTAACATGTCTCCTCTTCCTCCAAAGTGAAATTTCTATCGGTGGAAAGAATTCTCTGGAGTTGTGAGAATGTCCTCCGCCAACATGAACAAATCTTTCTGTTTGGAAAGAATGTGGGTGTTGATGGCCATTTTCATGCTTTCTGTGACCAGTTGTTGTTTTTTTCACACAAAACCGTCATTATTTTTTTTTTCTTTCTTGTGAGTCACAACATCTAGTCTCACTTTGTTACATTACGTTTAGCCAAAAAAAGTAAAGTTGGACAGCACTGTGTTAATTTAATGTCCAAGTGTAATGTTGCTGTGGTGAATTCATTCTTTCCAATAGAAACTGCCAGTTCTCTGACTTGTTGTGGGTGTTGCCTGTTTTTCTGAGATACTTAAGAGACTTTACAAGAAAAATTGAGAATATTTTAAAAACACTGAGCGCTGTGCAGAAGTTTTTACCACCCATTTGCTGATTTCCTATTTGTCGACACAACGCTGGTTCATATTAGTTAAGAGCCTTTTCATGCGTGAATGATTCATAGGTCAGAAGTAGCTTAACAAACAGGTTGATGTGGAAAAAAGTCAGGTACACAAACTGAAAATGAATTTAAAAAAAGCACCCACAATTTAGAAAACAAAAACTTTAAAAGAAATTCTGAAAATTTGGGATCAAGTTCACCTTAAAAAATCAGAAGGCAAAACAGGAAGATTCAAGACTTTTGCACAGCACTGCGTTTTCAGAGTCAGTTTCTTTATTTGTCATTCACACCACATGTGGTACATGAGGTGGAATGGAATTGTGTACACAGGGTCCCAGTTACATCCAACAAAAGTATAAAATGTAAAAGAAAAACAGTAATAAGACCTAAGATATGAACTAAGAAAGACATTAACTAAAAATACACAAAGCACTAGTAGTACAATATATATATATATATATATATATATATATATATATATATATATATATATATATATATATATAT